GTGGAGGGATGGATGGATGGATGGGAATTAGTGGGTTGGAAATGGGATGGGAAATGGGAAATGGGTAGAAAGATAATATGGATGGAATGCTAACGCTATACTTGCAAAGGATCGAGGATGAGATGAGGAGGACGCAGAGTAAGTTTGCGACCCTGGAGATTTGCTGCTTGTCTATGTTATTATAGGGACGGATGATGAGCATAAGAGGAGAAATTCAAATACTTACTAATTGTTGAATAGAAAATAAGGCGACGGGTATGTACAATTTTGAATAGTTGGCAACACGTGATCAATCATAACTGATTTTGATATTTCTCAGAATATCATCTTGGGCTTCTTAAAGGGTTTGTTCTATTTTTCTTTTTAATAATACTACTTCTATTCGGGGATGAGATTTCCGCGGTGATTGGCTCTACTTACTTACAATCTTCATCAGAAAACTCGCTCGTTACCGCGCTCAACTTCTCGAGCCGGGTCCTGGTGCTGGAGGTGCAGGTGGTACGGGATTCGACGTTTCGAAATCCGGAGATGCACGAATTGCACTAGTGGGGTTTCCTTCGGTGGGAAAATCTACTTTCTTGTCTAAGATTACGAAGACGAAATCTGTGGTCGCGGCGTATTCGTTTACGACGCTTACGGCTATTCCTGGTGTGTTGGAGTATGGAGGCGCGGAGATTCAAATTTTGGATTTGCCGGGTATTATTGAGGGAGCGGCTGAAGGAAAAGGTAGAGGAAGACAGGTTATTAGTGCGGCGAAGACGAGTGATTTGATTTTGATGGTGTTGGATGCTACGAAGAAGGCGGAGCAGAGGGCGTTGTTGGAGGCGGAATTGGAGGCTGTGGGGATTAGATTGAATAGGGAACCACCGTATGTTTATGTTTCGCCTTGTCACTCAAACCAGAGGCTGGCTTCACGTTGGAAGTAAATCACGAGCTAACATTACCCACAGAAACATCTACCTCAAACCTAAAGCCGCAGGCGGCATGAAAATCACCTTCCAAACACCCCCCAAATACATTGATCAAAAAATGATCTATAACATCCTCCGGGACTACAAAATCCTCAACTGCGAAGTACTCATCCGAGACGAATACTGCACCGTCGACGACTTCATCGACGTAATCATGAAAGACCACCGCAAATACATCAAATGTCTGTACGTCTACAACAAAATCGACAGCGTGTCACTCGATTTCCTCGACAAACTCGCCCGCGAACCCCACACGGTCGTCATGTCCTGCGAAATGGACCTCGGCATCCGCGACGTCGTAGATCGCTGCTGGGAAGAGCTAAAACTCATTCGTATCTATACGAAGAGGAAGGGAGTCGATCCGGATTTCTCAGAGGCTTTGATTGTGAGGAGTGGTTCCCGTGTGGAGGATGTTTGTGATCAGATTCATAGGACTTTGAAGGATACTTTTAAGTATGCGTTAGTTTGGGGCGCGAGTGCGAGACATGTGCCTCAGAGGGTGGGGTTAGGTCATTTTGTTGCTGATGAGGATGTTATTAGTATTGTTAGTGCTTTTAAGGCTTAGATTTTATGGGAGGGAATTGATTTATTGATTTATTGATGATCTATGATGGATGGATTGTGAGATGTGAGATGTGATATATTATTCTGCTTTTGAATTATATAAACAAAACAAATAAATTGAATTGGTTAAACTCATAAATATTTTATTTTTAAAATCCTAGAATTTTATATTTGGAGATGATACAAATATAATACAATATAATAAACTTCGTAATATACTATCTAGTATCTGTAAATTGAAAAATATATATATATATTACATCATCTCATTACAAATTCAACATATATCACTCACTTTGTCTTCTACTTACTCTTCTCTTTGTATATATAAAATAAAAACCTTGTGTTTGGCCATACTCACTACTCACTACGGAGGCATACCATAATCACTACATCAAACATACACACAACTTAAACACAATTCAATTTAACTTTTTTAATTTTGCTATTTAATGAACTTCCTTTTGATTACCCTGCCTGCAAAAAAACCCCTGCAAGTATGATACAAAAGCCATGCTGCATTCGTTGCACACATAGAAACAGAGACACATTCATTTGTCAACGCCAATTCTTATTCCGACCGTTAAAAATGTAAAGAAAACAGAGAAGGGAAAGGAGGGAATTCTACACCAAAATGCAATCATGATAATGAGCGAAAGTATAACGTTTCAACTTTACTCGCTATCAGAACTGCCCGCGGCGGATTTCTTTGATTCCCTCTTGATCTTCTTCTCCTTCTTCTTGCGCTTCCTTTCCGCCTTCTCTTCCGCTGTTTCCCCGTCATGCCTCTTTCTCTTCTTGTCATTCTTCTCTTCATCATCATTGGTAGCGTTACCATCGACAGGTGAAACTGCTGAAGGAGCAGCAGCTGTAACAACTTCAGGCTTTGGGTGGGATGCAATAGCAACAGCTCCATCTTCAGGAGGAGCATTGAAGTCCTTGTAGTCATTGTTCCACTTAGCAGGAGTTGCCTCGTTTGGTCTTCCATATTTATCGAGTTTGCCTTCAGTCTTCATCTTCTTCTTTTCGATTGCTACTGGTCCCATTCCCCATCTGCGTGGATAGAGATCACGTTCCATGATACAACGCTTGACCTTAGCAACGACACCGTGATCGCAAGATGATAGTTCAACAGTGGACATCTGAGCAATACCAAGGGCAATGGCTTCTCCCTTGGTGGTCATGAGGACAACCTCTTCATGGACCTCGATATCGGCCTCTGTGATATTGATTAGCGCAAGCCATCATAAATCGTGATCTCAAAAAAATTGTAGTGTATCTCGTGCTCATTCTCAAAAGTGGTTTGTTCCTCATCAACGACCCGAAGGCTATATGAGTGGTGCATGAAACTCGTGTCTAATCATCGCGGTATTTTGCTATTTGGGAGCGGGGATCGGAAAAAAAGAAACTTACCATATCTTAACAATCCAGGAATCATCAACTTGGCACCATAACAGACAGCGTTGACTGCGCTGTCCTTGACGACAATTCTCTTGTAGGTGGTGAGAAGGGTCTCCAATGGCTGAATAACCTTTCTCAGGTATGCCTCGTCGCGTGCATTGTCTTGCATCCATTGAGCATCCAAAACATCATGGAGAGTGACCATATCTTTTGTCTCATCCATAGCACCACTTCGTACTCTCCTCAACTCTTGCATGTGTGCGCCAACACCCAACAACAATCCGAGATGAACACAGAGAGTACGGATATATGTACCAGCTTCACAGCTAACCCAGAATACACCCAAATGTCTGTCATTATCAAATTCGTATAACTTGCTCTCGTGGATTGTTCGAATACGGAGTTGGCGCTTGACGGCGGAAATGAGAGGAGGACGTTGGAAAAGAGCACCAGTTAAGGTCTCCAAGGCTCGCGCAAATTGTGCCTCTCCACCTGGAAGTTTGTCGTGTAATCTAATAACACAAACATACTCCTTTCCTGCTCCTTGTTGGGATTTTACGAGTCTGGTTGCGCGATCAATGCAAACAATTAAACATCCAGTAACCTTTGGATCCAGGGTACCACTGTGACCAGTCTTCTCGACTCTATAAATTTCAACGGTTAGTTCATGTCGCGGAATGATCGCGTAAGAGTGAAGATTTACCTCAACATGCGCTTAACCCATGCTACAACTTCGTGACTGGAAGGATTTGAAGGTTTGTCGAGGTTAATAACACCGGAGCTGATGTAGGACTTGAGGTCTCTTTTCAGCGGAGTGCAGCCATTGGGAATTGGGGTAAAATGTCCAGTGCGAACAAGTACTAAACAATGTCAGTAGACTCTCAATTGCCTGAATAACTTCACACATACAGTTGTTGTAGTTTTTCAACAGTAATGGCCAACTGCTGGTGTCAATGGCTGGAGTTAAAGCTTCAGGCTTTATGGTATAATCAACCTCTTGGTCTTTCTTTGTCGATACAAGCGCCATCTTGGATAAAGGTAATTGACGAATCTACAATATCCGATGTTTTGTGGCCGCTGTCGAAGTGGTTGATTAATTTTCACTTTTCCTCGAAGATTTCAAGCTCTAGAAAATTTACCGATGAGAAATTTTGGTGGAGGGAGCTAAATCGAACAAGGTAAAGCTCTTTTGTCACGTGCTAATTAACTCAACCAATCAAGTTCCAAGGGAACAGACAGCATTGAGAACACAAGATTTTATTGACCAATTACAGCAAGAATTGGATAATAGATGAAATAGATGAATGATGTTTCTAGTATGAGACTTATCAACTTACATCTACCTATCTGTACGTATACCTACTATCTATCACCATAAATTCATAAAATGAAAATAGCTGGAGATTTATACGTTAATCAGATTGAAAAATAATATTTATTTAATTTCCCCCTTTCATCTCATCCAACCTCTTTTTGTGTGACATTCTATCAATGCCAAAAGGGTACCAAGGTATCATCAATCACATTGTATACAATCCTTAAAACGCCCCCTATAAATGCCAAGTTTAGCATCCAAACTCCTTTCCTTCCATATATCACCACAAGAACCCTTGTTGGGAAACAACCCTAAAATGCTATCAATACATCTATGACCACGACCCACTTCCGCTCTCAGAGTATCTATCAACTTCTCGCCTTAACCACTCCGAATCTTCGTCCATTTTTTCTCTAATTCTCCTTGCTCTCTCAAATAAATCCTCGTCATCATCCAAACTACCATTTTGTAATCTCCTTCCAGAATCAGCTGCCATAACTACTCTAGCTCGCTCTTTCAAACGTCTTATTTCTTCATCGCCAGTCGGCGCTGGCAGAAGTAATTGTTGAGCAGGTACTCTAGCCGGGCTGCTTCTTGGAATTGGTTGCTCTTTCGGCATCATCGGTCTTCGAGATCTAATAGGTTTGCCAATACCATCATCAAAAGACTGCTTTTGGCGTAAAGGATGCTTTGCCACAGAAGTAGCAAGAGGTGTTCCATTAGGAAGAGTGGTGATGCCCCTGGCTTTTAATCGAAAGTAGTCAGTCTGTACGCCACTAAGCTGTGGCCGAGTCTCATGTGCAGCTTGATAACTAGGCAGAAAATGGATCCTTGAGCCACCATTCAAGAAAGAAGGATCCGAGAGTAGTGAACGTTGCAAAGGATTATCCGACTGATTGCGTCTATGTGAGTTTGAAGTTGAATCCGACGCGATAGAAGATACGGAAGACTTCAATCGTTTGTTGCTACGCTCGGTTTCTCCATTGTTCACAATCTCACTTATCGTTTCTTGTGGGTTATGTACACCCACGAGAACCCCAGTCCCTTCTAAGAGACTCCCCAAGCTTGATCGTCGATCTTTAAAAGGGCTGCTTTTTACCCTCTTTTTACCCTTTGAAGTTGAAACTCTAAAATCCTCAACAACACTAGCCGAAAGTGCTGTCTTAGACGCCCTCATGCTTTCAGCGTGTTCTATGCGAGCTCTTCTAGCTTTGCTCCCTTGCCGACGCACCCAGAGATTGTGAGCGTTAGTTCGCCACATGTTAATATATTTTATAGCTAAGGCTTTACTTCGAAATTCATCAGCTTCCTGCCGGGCCAATTCCTCCTCTTCCTCGGCGATACGCTTGGCTTCTTTTCTTGCTTTCTTAGCCTCATCTCTCATAAATTTTTCCATCGTTTCTCCCACCAAATTTTGGACTGTATATGTCATGAATTGCTCAATGATTCCATCCTCCCCGAGTGCAACCCACTTTGCAAAGTTGTCTAATGGAGAGACCTGAGGTGTCGGTACTTGGATATCAGGCTGCGGAGTTTCTTTAGCGGCAGGTCTAAACAAATTGCTGAGATCTGGCTGTGGCGCCGGGGTAGATGTAGTGACCTTAGCGGACTCAGCCACGGATGAATGCGCTATGGGCTCAGAATATATGGACTGTGGCTCGGAATATATGGACTGGGGCACAGGCTTGGAACTAGAAGTCCAATCATTAAGCTTAGGGCGTGTGAATTGTGGCTCTGTTGCTGGAGGCTTAAAAGCCGTAGTCTCTGTTGGTTGGAAAGTTTTCGGGCTTTCTGCGAGAGTTGTTTGAGGAACACTTGGAAAGGCTGCGCTTTCCGATGGCCAATTGAATTTTGGTGGTTCTGTAGAAGTTGTTTGGAACAGCTTGGGAGTTGTTGCATTATCTGACGGCCAAGTAAACTTTGGTGGCTCTGTAGTCTTTGGTTCTGACGGGTTATTCGTTGAAGTGGGTGCAAAGAGGGCAGATGGCGCGAATGGAGTAGGTGCGGCAACAGGAGTTGGGGCAGATAGAGTAGAGGGAGAAATCGTATCCTTCCGCTCCTTCGTCGAGAAAAGTGTAGTTTCGGGTTGAGTGCCGTTTGTCTGGCCTGCAGACGGAAACCCAAATAATGGTGCCGTAGGGGAGGTTGGCAAGGATTGCTGAGGTGATATTTGTGCCACTTGGAAGCTAGCTGCTTCAGGTGCCTCAACGGAGATTACTGCTGGGGCCAAAGGCTTCACCCCTCCAATGTTGTCCTTCACGAACAAACCATCGTCAGAACTTGATTCCTCGCCTTGCTTGTCATCTTCTGATACCCCGTCGTATACAGTCGTATCGATTACCTCTGTCAAGGTATGACCAGTACGTTTGCGCTCCACAATTTCACCAGAATGAGGTTGCTTGATTGGAGGGAATGGATCAACAACTTGATTATCCACCGCTAATGATAAGCAGTAATCGCCATCCACCTCATCAAATCGAAGGCCGTAAGCTTCACCAAAGTCAACGATATCCCATGGGTCGTCAAAGTGTAGATATTGGTTCAGTTTGCTAATATTCCAATCCTTTGGTTGGTCGCGCTGTCGTTGGTATGCTGACAGTATCGTCTTCAGAGCATTCTTCCGAACTTCGTTGAAGTGCATCTCAGCGAAGCAAGCCATGGTATATGACACATTTCGGCCCTTCAAAATTGTGAAGAAGCGAGAAAAGGCATTTTCGGCGACGTTCAGCACCGAGAATGGTTGCAAGGGACCACGTGGACTCCAGATGTTCTGTAAACATTCAACTAGGCTAACAGCAATCTTAATCTGCTCAGACTCTCCCCAAAACTTCCATCCCCAATTTTGTACCGTCTCCAGGATTCCAGGATTGCTACTGTTAAGAAGTACATAGTATGCCCTAAATTCGGCTTCGTTCTCGCAAGATATATTCTGCAGATTGCAATCCTCATAAGCGTGTATAAGCGAGAGGAGAGACTTGCTAAGTTGTTCAACTTCTTGCTGTTCCACAAAATTTTCCGGCGCAACGTCAGGCTTCGACATCTGATGTAACGCTGTAACATGGAATCGAGTGATCTTTTCGAGGCAGTAAACTTGATCAGCCAACTCTGGTGGACTCATTGACGATTGAAATACGAAATCTCGCCGTATCGCTCGCGTTCGGTCCCACAAGAATTCATGCTGAGCTGCTAGATTATCATCCTCTCCCAAGACTGTGTCAATGAGATAATCCAGTGTTCGTCTCAGTGCAGCAGGTGACCGAACATCTTGCGGAAGTGGGGCATCTTCTCCAGCGGCAGATCTAGCCAACTTCTTAATCATCATTTGAGGCGAAGGACGCATGGATCCGTCTGGTGCTACCTCCTTTTCAGCACGTTGGACGTCATCTTCAATAATTCTTCTTATAATTTCTTCTTCCGGGCACATTTGGTCGCATGTTCCTTTGAAGTCGATAGCTTCACTGAGTTTCTTTGGTTTGAGAGGATCATCAATGAAGCCACCTTGAATTAGGGATGCGCGGACGCATGTTCGATACTTCTTCAGTTCATCTAAATAGCTCTTCACGGCTGCTCTTTCGCGTGGATCACCTGGATTTTTTGCGGTACATCGTGGTGGCGTGATTTTTTCTTTCTGTAAAAGAGTGTTGATCTTGCTGGCTAACTCACTACTTGACGCAAACGAGGCCATTTCCGAGGACATTGGCGTAGTGTTTCCAAAGCCCGACTTCGACTGATTGGATGCTTTGTTCTTCTTGTCGAAAAAACCATTGTTTGTCTGTAATGGCTTTTGCGAAGCATTTTTCTGGGAATTCTTTTCAGACTTCTTCTCGATTGAGGCTTGTTTCGAAGGCGCGCGATTGCTTCCTTTCACGATGCCGGCTTTCTGAGAATTGATCAGGGCAGACAAAGGAGTCGCCGAGGCACTTGATGGGCTACCAAAACTCGACGAAGATGAGGCGCCTCCAAAAGCGTTTGTAGAGGCGAATGGGTTTACAGCTGTCGACTGAGGCGTGCTTGCTGAGCCAAAGACGCGTGTATTGGGAGTTTTAGAATTAGATGAAGGAGCAAAAGGCGAAGGCGAAGGGCTTTTGCTGTTAGGTCCAGTGGGTGCTACAAAAATGTTTGATGATGTCTTTGGATTTGGATTTGCAGTAAATGCGAAGGGGTTGGAGACCGTAGAGGTTGCAGTCCCCGAGCCAAAGGGAGTCTTCATATCTGATGGTGTTGCGCTGGCAGGCGAGCCAGTTTGTTCCTCAGTTGATTCAGTCGCGAATCGAACCTGCTTATTGCTATGCAACCCTCCACGCGATGATCCTCTTCCTCTGTTATTGGTCGCAGATCCGTTTTGGCCTCTCTGTTCGCGCTTTGCAGCATTCTCGAGTCGCTCTTTTTCAAATGGATCTACCGATGTCGTCGCGCTTGGAGATGGACTAGCTAAATGATCAAATTTGTATGAGTTTCTTTCATGATGATATAAATTGTGATTTTTTGGGATAATATTCTTTTACCATTACCACGGGAACTGCCGCGATATATATTGGTATTGTCGGTCAATGCTGGAGGTCTTCATGGTGTCATGAAATTGTGATTGGGGCTTACCAGAAGCGTTGCTTGAAGCTCCTCGACCCGCCTGTCCGCGACCTCTTGACCCTCGTGAACTTTTTGAATTTCCTCGTGCGCCCCTGGCGTTACTGCTACTGAGCAGCATGGTTCGTGATCTAGATCATGGGGAGGCGGGAGGGACAAGGAGAGGAGTATTTGAATTAATATTATGTGTACGTTTCCAATGAATTAAATTTACTCAATTTTCAATTGCTTCCATACAGTATTCTATTGTGAGCTCAAAGGCAGGCGGAACAAGGTTATCTTCACCCTAAGCTCCATTTGATGATGACTAAAATCTGCCAATGGATTGCACACCGCCGAACGAAAATGGCTAGCTAATTTTGAGTATCATCAATAAGAACGTTTGGGTAATTATTGTGTATCATGCACATTTGTTACAATCAGAAGTTTTGGGAGTAAATTTAATTTTATATCTTTACATTTTACGGCTCAAACCAAAGTCAAACCCAAAGCTGTGTATTACTGGTATTGTTGTGATTCATCGGTATTCACTGAAAGAAGATTCAGATATATATTTTCATTCTTTGATAGCCCAAAAACGCTCGTAATGAAGCCTCTAATACATACGCCGTGATACACTTTTATTCTTAGATGCCATAACTTTGGGGAATTCCATACTTTTCAAAGTATTTGCCTTGAACTCCAAGCGCCAAGTGAACCAAATATAGAGCAAAATGCCAATCCGCAACTCCTTCCTAAAGGCCTTTACTATCGTTCACGCCCTCTGGGTACGAGTGGAACGATTACCGAAGCTGCTGAAGCGTGCTGGACCGAGACCCTTCCGAACCTCGTCTAACTGTTCCATACCAGTCTGGTATTTCATCTTCTTCACATTCTTCTTACCGCTCATAGAATGACTGCCTAGGAAGTCATCCATAATACTATCGAAATCTTGGCGAAGGTCGCCTTCTACAGTAGATACAGATGACGAGGCCATCGAAACGGAGGCCATATCGTCAAAATCCTCGTTGTATTGTTCCTCGATTTTCTCGAATCGTTGATCGAGTGTAGTAAGGCCTTCTGTTCTGAATATTGAGGACGATGTCATGGAGTAAGCGGAAGGGTTTGTCAAGGCACCCTTTCTCTTCTTTCGCCTTCCGCCATTTGTGGTGGTGGTAAACAATGATGATTGTAGGTCAGATTGCGAAGGCGCAACTTGAGCCTTGCTGGACTTCTGATCCTTTTTGAATTTGCTGAAGTTTGCCATCCAATCCCCGTCGCCATGATCCTCCCGCTCATCATCATCTATATCCTGGGTCGTAGCAGGTGCGTCCTTGTATTCTTGAGTAGGCTTTGCTGTGGCATCTGATTCCCATCCGTCTTCATCATCCCAAGTTTCGTCGAATTCTTCTTCGTCTAATTCCTCCCCATCCTTTGCCAATTTCTCAAAAATTTCGTCATCATCGTCTACATAAGCCTCGTCTTCTAAAGCTTCCAAAACCTCCCTCAACCTTGGATCCATATCAGGTTGAAACCCAGCTAAAGCATCAGGGACATCTTGTTGTGCTTGGTATGTAACCTTTCGAAGGTTTTTGGACGGCAGAATTTCGTCATCAAGAACGGCTCCAGCCTTGTCTTCCAAGCTTGCGTTCCTCAGCGCATCCTCCAAAGATTGTTTTCCCTTTCCCTTGTTTTTGTTTTTTGGTCCAGTGGCTTCCACAAAAGTTGATTCACCACCTCCACGACCCAAATCGCGCATGTGTTGCATATAATCATATTCAGTGTCATCATAGTAAACACCATAGTTTGCGGCCTCTCCTTCGTTATCTCTGACATGTGCGATGCCCGAACCAAGCTCAGCTGTCAAATCATCGAGTTTCTTGATTTTGCTCGAATTGGGTGCATTGGTGGGATTTAAGACCATGGAAGATGCAGATTCATCGTGAATTAACGGATCGTTCTGAGGACGATGAACAAGTTGAAAATGTGTCGCATTCTTTTTATCAATCCACTTTCCTCGAGCCATGTTGACTATGTTTGGTAATTGTAAATCTGTACAGCGGAAAGGTGGAAAAATATTTATTATCTCGATCCGAGGAGGGTTTGGAATTGCAGATGTCAGATTGATCAATTATTTGTGGAAAGATTTAATTTTCCTAGTGCCGGCAAGATTTTTGGCGGTCAAATTTCATCACAGGGTCGAGAAATTTGCCCCTCATTTTGCTCGATAATCAGAACTCCACCCAAAAAGTGTAAAATTCATTTATCTATTCTCAATTCCGCGAATTACTGCCAATCCATAGCAGGATCTTTATCTATTTTTTAACCAAGAAGACTCACAAGGGCAACGGAGAAGACATACATACGATGGTTCTCGCAAAATCAAAAAATGCCGTTGGACTGGGGAACAGTTTGATGAATGATAGATTTGGGAAGGGCAAAGGAGCAGATCGCAAGAAAACCACAGCAACTGGAATTCAAAGAACGCACAAAGATACCGGAGAAACCGTACGTAAAATTCTATGATTTTACTCTTTGATACTAAAAGAAAATAGTATGTCACCAACGAAAAACAGGAGGCAAGTTGGGTCAAGATGCGATCGGTCACAGAGCAGGCAGCGCTCGATGAATTCTTGTCTACTGCAGAGTTAGCCGGCACAGATTTTACGGCAGAGAAGATGAACAACGTTAAGATTATTCATACTGATCAAAAGAATCCATATCTTTTATCGGCCGCCGAGGAACGAGCTGCAGTTGGCAAACAAAAGGTACACAAGGAAAGACTCACGGTTCCGAGAAGACCGAAATGGGATTCTTCTACCACGCCGCAGGAACTCGATAGAATGGAGAGAGATGGTCTTTTGGAATGGAGAAGAGGACTGGCTGAGCTTCAAGAAAATAACGATTTATTGATGACACCATTCGAGCGCAACTTGGAGGTTTGGAGGCAGTTGTGGAGAGTTATTGAGAGGTCTGATCTTATTGTCCAAATCGTTGATGCTAGGAATCCACTTCTGTTTAGATCTGAGGATTTGGAAAGATATGTCAAAGACGTCGATAGCCGCAAAGAGAATCTTCTATTGGTCAACAAGGCTGATATGTTAACTTTGGAGCAAAGACAACATTGGGCCGATTATTTTGAGGCGGCCGGTATCAAATACAAATTCTTCTCAGCAGCTTTAGCAAAAGAATTAAACGAAGCAATGTTGGAGGAAACCGAAGAAGAAACCAATGCTTCTACTTCAGCGTCGAAACTAGCAGAAAAGGCCAAAGCACTTGGTCTTGATAACGATGAAGATGACGAGGATAGTGATGTGGATAGCGAAGAACAAGATGAAGGGGCCGACGCGAACGAAGAGGATGAAGAAAGTGATGATGGAATAATGGAGACCGAAAGCACCAGAATCTTGACAGTGGATGAGTTGGAGGCTCTTTTCTTGTTGCATGCACCTGAGATTCAAGGTAAGGGTCATCACATTCAAGAAACTAATTCTATAGCTAAAAAAAACCAGATTCTGAGTCGGAACATCCTAGAAAGACTCAAATTGGTCTCGTTGGATATCCTAACGTCGGTAAATCTTCTACCATCAACGCCTTAATTGGCGCTAAGAAAGTGTCTGTATCATCGACACCAGGAAAAACGAAGCATTTCCAAACTATTCATCTTAGTGACAAAGTTTTGCTTTGCGATTGTCCTGGATTGGTTTTCCCAAATTTTGCGACTACGAAAGCGGAACTTGTATGCAACGGTATTTTACCTATTGATCAACTTCGAGAGTTCGTGGGCCCAGCTGGTTTAGTAGCACACCGTATACCTCAAGGTTTCTTAGAAGCACTGTATGGAATGAAAATTGTGACCCGGCCTTTGGAAGAAGGAGGAACTGGTATTCCAACTGCCGAGGAAATGTTAACAGCGTACGCTAGAGCAAGAGGATTCAGGAGGACAGGGCAAGGTCAACCGGATGAGTCAAGAGCCGCTAGACATATTCTTAAGGATTATGTCAATGGAAAGCTACTGTTCTGTCAGCCTCCGCCATTAGATATTGACCCTTTTGAATTCAACAGAGAGTTGTACAACGAAGGCCATCTACCGGAGAAGAGACGACAGGCTCTGGCGTCTATGGCCTCTGACGCTGATGACCAAAGTTTTGTCGTGGATAGCGATATCATCGACATGCCGCAAGGACCAAAATCAAAGAAATTGGACAGTACTTTCTTCGCTCAAGGACAAGGAAACTCGGCACACTTACGAATGCCTTTCAGTCACAAGTACTCTGAGCAAGGAACTGCGAGCGGGAAACAACTGTCGGGAAGGAAACAGGCAACCTTACTAGCTTTAGAGAAAGACATGGATCCGAATGATGTTAAGAAACTGACTAGTAAAAAGCATTTCAAGGGCAACAAACCAGGTGGAAAAGGCAAGCGAAGGGCGAATTACTTTGCCGATTAAAGGTCACATATCGGATTTGGGTCATAGAAAAGATACCTCGACAACGGTGGCGGTTTACATGTTTGGTTGGAGTTTGCGGTATTGATTAAATAGAAAATGAACATCACCTCGGTCAACGAGTGCTGGGTTCTTAGCAATATGAACTGATTTCTCGTACCATTGATTTCATGTCATGATATACGGAGTATTGGCCTTGAAGGGTTGACTGATTAATGACGTTCATAGCCCCTCTCGACATAAATTGCCTCGGTCTAAGGACAATTGGCCGAGCCGAATGTGTGGAGAAGTTTGGGGTAACAGCAACTAAAGGTAGAATAACAGGAACCTCGAGGCTTATATTATTAATCCTCCCCTTAAAACATACTTATTATAATTTAGAGACTCCTCTGAATTGAATACACAATTGTTCTTATCGCTTTCATTGTCTCAATTAAATACTGATAAGACTTCGCATACGAATCTACCAGTTCTCCTTTAACCTCATCCATCATGTCTGACAAAATCCCTATTCTCGTAAGAGCTCATTATTTGATTCCGTCTCCGTATACTAACTGTTCCGCTAGGCTGCTAATCGAGTGAGTGATCATGCAAAAAAGACTCTTGATCTCGTTACAAAATTTGTCGAGGAGAGATGTATACCGTATGTCCTTCTACCATGCCATCCCATATCCTCACCGCACAAGTTCACTACTAACAATCGACAGTGCCGACCCCGTATTCCACGCTCAACTCGGCGAGGGTACACAGAGATGGGATGCCTACCCATCAGTAATCGAAGACCTCAAGAAAGAGGCCCAGAGCCTCGGATTATGGAACATGTTCCTTGCGAAAGCACATTATAAAGAAGGAGCCGGTTTCTCCAACCTCGAATATGGATTGATGGCAGAACAATTGGGTAAATCACACTTAGCATCCGAAGCTACCAATTGTGCGGCTCCAGATACGGGAAATATGGAGGTGTTGGCGAAATATGGAAACGAGGAACAGAAGAGGGAATGGCTTGCTCCGTTGTTGGCTGGAAAGATTCGCTCAGCTTTCTTGATGACGGAACCGGATATTGCCAGTTCGGATGCTACAAATATTCAAATGGATATGAGAAGAGATGGGGATGATTGGATTTTGAATGGCTCCGTAAGTTGTGATGGTTCCATTTTCGGCCAGGGGCAATTAGGCTAACAACATGTTGTAGAAATGGTGGTCAAGTGGCGCTGGTGATCCACGATGCAAGATTTATATTGTTATGGCTAAGAGTGATCCTAACAATCCGGATCAATACAAGCAACAATCTGTCATTTTGGTTCCAGCTGATTCTCCTGGTATCACAATAAATAGAATGTTGTCAGTCTATGGCTTTGATGATGCTCCTCATGGACATGGACATTTGACATTCAAGAATGTTAGAGTTCCAGCCAAAAATATCGTACTTGGCCCTGGACGAGGATTTGAGATTATTCAAGGTCGTCTTGGTCCTGGACGTATCCATCACTGCATGAGATCTATTGGTGCTGTAAGTTTATCAAGATCTACACAAACATTCAAAGCTAACTAGTCCCAGGCTGAGAAAGCTCTCGATTGGATGCTTATGCGCATCAATGATCCCAAAAAGACACCCTTTAAGAAGCAATTGAAAGAGCATGGTGTAATTCTTGAGTGGGTGGCCAGATCCCGAATTGAAATCGATGCAGCTCGTCTAGTTGTACTCAATGCTGCTATTAAGATAGATGAAGGAGGTGCAAAGAATGCACTAAAAGAAATTGGCGTGGCAAAGGTTCTTGTACCAAGCATGGCATTAACGGTCATTGATCGTGCTGTCCAATCATTCGGAGGAGCTGGTGTGTGTCAAGATACCCCTCTCGCATCCATGTGGGCAAATATCAGAACCTTGAGATTGGCCGATGGACCAGATGAGGTACATCTACAACAGTTGGGTAGAAATGAAAACAGGAGAGGAGCGGAGGTGACTCAGAAGATTCACAAGCAGATGGAGGCTACGGAGGCCCTGTTTGCAAAGTACAGAGTTACACATGTAGAACCTGGACCAACTGTACGGGAGAAGTCCAAGTTATAAGTTAGATAGGGATTAGGGATATAGTTCGTTTATACGTACATGGGACATAATACGAATTTTGTATGGTCTACTAAATTGAGGATTAATAAAATTCATTTGGTTCATAAATTTATATCGTGACAAAAGTATTACATGAATGATATGAATAATCGAAACAATCAAATCAATGGAAGCAAAATAGCAGAAGAGCAGAATAGCAAAAACGCCAAAAGATTCTTCAATTCCATTTCTACGTCAGTGATTGATGATTTTAACATTCATGTTTATTGATTTGCATGAAAGTGGAGATCCCGAAGAAATGTGCCTTCCGTCGCTGGGACAACAAGCGTAAATAATCAAGCTCTCATAAATTTTTCATCTTCCACCATTCTCAAATACATAAAACCACATAAAATCCACACGAAAGAAGAACCTTTTTTGCAAATTATCCAATTCAATCAATCCTATTTCCACTCCAGATTCAATACTCAGCTCAATACATAATTGTTAAGTCAAAGCTACTTTACTACCACAAACAACTCCATCACTCGATACCAAGATTCACGCTCGCAACGAACGATCAATTACAATGTCTTCACCAAGCGTTCTCTCAAACAAAGACGTTAATATCTCGACCATGAATCAAAATACTGTTGTTGTTGATGATAAGAAACCATCTATGGTGGCTGATCCTCATAGTATGGAGTATCATCGTCAGGTTTTGCAGAACAAGATGCAACAAAATGCGTATGTTCTGCCTTTACTGTTCTCTCCGTCGTCACCCTAAGTACTCCTGGCATTGCTGTTCAGCAGTGCCTTGGCTTCTCATTTCTTCTGAAAAGAGAGAGAAATATATGAATATTCACTAATTCTTTACTTCAATTATAGGGGTCAAGAGGAAAAATATATTTCTCCATCTGATACCATCCAGTCTCCAACTACTGCCAAATTGTCGGCTTATCGCAACAAACAGGTTGGAAAGTGAGTCAATTCTTTTACCTTATCACACCCTACACACCTCCACACAGATACATTCTTTTATTCAACATCACCGAACCTCAAAACCCACCAATAAGATAGAAACAAATGCTAAAAATCTCTGTTCAGGAACGCCAAACCCCGTTCCCTCTTTGCCAAAACCTCCGCCAAAAACTTCACAGCTGCGAACAACGGCCAGCTCTTCGGTAAAGATATTTCGAGCCCAAAACAAACCACAAACGACAACATTGCTGGCGATGCTATGCAAGAATAGATTGCTATCAATCTCTAATCATGAGATGAGATGAGATTTTGGTCTTTTGCATCGCTAGCAATTCTTCAATAAAGAGGCGTATAAGTATCACGCTCTCTCGGTTTGTTTTTTGGTTTATAGGTTGGTTTTAGTTCTGGTTATTTTCGGTCAGCGGGTCATTGGGCAATGATGCGCATACTATCAAGTGAAGGACATTGTGTCAGATTGGTTTATTACTAGGCAGGGTTTTGGGAGGTGAAACAAGGAAAGGGAATGAAAGGGGTATTTTATGATTGTATTTCTACTTCTTCACGTCCGCAGACGTTTGGTGTATAGGGCTGTTTTGGTACTAGAATGATGGACCTGGATATCACATCGGGGGATGGATGAGCGTGGTACGCTTCTTGGCTAGATCCTCATGTACTGGCTGGCTGGGGGAGATCATGACTCAACTGTCGTTGTGCGTTTGGGTATCATCATGAGGCGTTTTTGGGTTAACTTCTTTTCTTGATTGGTTGTATCCATTCAGTACGGTTGAGATATCATAATTCTTTGATAATTTAATTAGAGTTAGATGAGTTAATTTTCATGAGAACTCTCTCTTTCTCTCTTATACGAACCTCATGTTATGCAATCATGCCATCGTTACAACAACAGTTCCATAATAAATGCCGTATCTGATATGAAGCTCATGTACCATGCACGCAGACAACCTAGAATGTGCAAAACCTCATACACGGCAGTCTATTATACTAGATATCTAATAAGCAATATATATCTCCAAAAAAAGACAACCCATTCAACTTCTCTAGAGTATTCTCATACATGCATACTTAATCCTTCCCCCATGGATTCCTTATCCATGTCCCCACCTATTTAATTAATATCTAATAGAATTTGAAATATCCATATTCATATTTTCTTGACTAGAAGTATCTCAGGTAAGAGTAAGTCATACAAATGATTTTGATTTGGATAGGTAGTGAGTGTTAGGTTGGTTAGTTGGTGGTTGGTTAGTGAAAAAAATCTATGGAATGGTGAAATTTAGAATATAGAATATAGAGGTTAGAGTGATTTTGTTTTGTTGGAAGTTGAGATTTGGAGATTTGGAGATTTTGAGGTTTTGAGGTTTTGAGATGGAAAAATGGAAAAATGGAAATTTGGGATTGGGATTGGATGGGGTTTTATTGCGGTGGGTTTTATTTATTTAATCTTGTTATCTATCTAGATATTAATAACTGTCGAGTTGTCACTATATTCAATCAATTCTCAGTTCTCAATTCTGGATCTATGGAGTTTCTTTGATTTGATTGAAATACTAATATACGCTGCAGTGATATAATTACTTCTTCAGCACCACATCCTGCAGGCATCACGGATCACACATCACAAATCATGTACCGTGTGCAAATATGATACAACAGCTATAGCAACTGCAGCAAATTTAATAACTAACAATCATATACATAATATAAAATATAAACCATCATTAACCTCGTTAAAGTAAACTCACTCTAAGGTTGTAATTTCCCAACAATCAGATCCTCCCACAGCTTAAAAGTACTCCAAGACACATATCCCAAATAGCTGCACACTAGTGACAATTTTGTTCGTAAAGGACATCCCTCAAACTCAGCGACTAACTCCAAACTTTTTATAGACTAAATAGACACTTATCATGGTCTTCGTCGTTGTCATTATGAAATATTAGGCCGTGGCAGCCAATCAAGATTGATACCCTCTCAAAAGGGTGGTGCTTGGGGATAAAATGACGCTCCTGCATAATCGAAACCTGTTTCAAGGCCATTTTGAGGATAGGGTTCTATGTTGGTCATTAGCATGATTTGCTTTAATTGAAAGAGCGCGGATGAGGACGAGCGTGGCGATAGTAGAGAGGTATCAATCAATGAGTGACAAACGAGAGGGGGCGAGGGAAAAGTGATTATCAATGACTTACCCCAGAAAATCGAATCAAATAAATCCATCGGTGACATATTCAGTGTCTGCTCCACAGACTGCATATCACCGCCCATGTTACTCATAGGAACCTGCTGCGTATAGTCTAAACTGTGCCATGTTAGTAAAGATTGACTACAAATCCATCAATAAGTGTGAAGACATACGGTGGTACAATTCCATTTTGCAGAGAGGCCATAGCAAGAGCAGCATTTTGCTGATCATATTCACTTGTGGACTTGAAATCTTGTTCCTGCATCATATGAGCCTCTGGAGCCATAACTGCTCGTTGTTGAATTTGTTGTTGTTCAACCACCCATCCATGATCATAGATATTTTTCAGTGCAGCTAAAGCTCTCGATAAGGGTCCGCTGAGTTCAATATCTTTATCTGACTTAGGAATCGTGGACGGCTGTTCTTTTGCTGCAGTAACAGACAAAGCACTTATTAAATCTCCTTGAAGTTGTCGAACTTCTGGATCTGTTTTGGTTTCACCTAATATTCCAAGAAGAACCGCAGATGAAAGACCATGGTAAGTGAATGCCCATGAACGTGTGGGTATGACGCTTAGAGAATGCATCTTTAGGTACATTCTAACCGTTTCGGTAAGATTTTGTTTACATTTTTCAGCGATAATTGCCTTTTGGTCAGAAGACATTCCATTTTCCCCACGACGAAGAGCGGGCCGGCATAATACTGAGACGACGAAGGATGTGTGAAGTCGAAGGGCAAAGTACTGTAATCTATCTTGGACTGTTTTGCATGCTTCTTTAATGCGGAGTGCTGGAAGAACTCTTTGACGAATATTTTCGACGTCAATTGAATTGGCGATGATTTGATTATAATCTGGCTCGGTAGCCGAATCATTCTTGACGAAATCCAATATTCTCTGACAAAGATGGTACATAGCTTCTGTGTAGGTAAAGCCTTCCGTCAAAGCGATTGGGCTTAGAGGGACTTTGCATCTTGTGATTACGGCGATGGGAGATCTGTCGAAAGAAAGTGAAAGTAAACTGTCTTGCCAAACGATAGTCCACCTATAATTTGTTAGACTGGGGGACATCAACAAACGATGACGGGTGAATATACCATAGTTTACGGCGTGGCAAATCATTATCTTCTGAAGATGAGAATCTGCCACTTTCGTTGGGACCCCTATGAAGGCCTAAAGCTTGAGCAAGTCTACAAGTGAGACCAATCAATGCCCACGAAGCCTCAGCTTTCATATCGTTGGCTAGAACAAATCCAAGAATCAAAAGTGCCTGCAATGAATCCAATGACGGGCGGATCAAGAAGTTAGATAGTCTCAGACAATGGAACGATGTCTGAACTGTACTTGAGATTAGATTACTTCACTATTCAAGAAAAATTTGTTTCACGTACCAAAAGTTTGTGAGGCCGCTACACGTTTGTGATATGTAGTCTCCGCGTAGTTTGACGATACAGCAAGTACTGCAAATAGCATTCCCAGCCAGGCCGAAGATACACCCTTTTGATTTGGACTCCTGCTTTTTGCCGAACTAGCCCGATCTTCCAGGTAGATACACAGCTTTGTCTCAAAATCATCAATATCAATCAACAGGCCCCAGAATGGCTGAACTATTTGTTTGTAAATTTGAAATGACCTATGCATAGGTTAGCAGGGACTGCCAACTTGCTTATACTTATACGCCGTGCTACTAACTTTAGGACATCCTTATCCGATGGCAATGCCGCAGCAATGTCATGCCTTATTTTATCCATATGTTCTTTGGACATGAACGGGAACGGAGCCGCTGATATCTGTAAACCCAGTATAGGCATGATGTCTTTCCGTATGACATCGTGTTCGGCTTCGCCAGGCGATGATCCAATCTGAGCTTCTTCACTCAAAAAAGCGGCGATTGAATTCTGTCCCAGATATCGTGATTCATTTGGATCATCTTCTTCTGTAGTGATATTAACTTCGGAGTTCAATCGGACTCATAGATATTCGATACTACCACGGGAACACTTGGTCCAGCAATAGGAACTATGGATGAGAGAACTTTATACACTCGAATTGGAGGCATCTTCATTTTTTGGTAGATTTATCACAAATTGATATTTACCTGTTGTTCTCGGCCAGCCGTCTTCTTTCCTACCAGAGTGATCGCTGGCACTGTCCGGGGTTCGGCCCCTTTTAACTCCAGCTACTGAAGCTGTCGGTATCGTCTTTCCGAGATCCCGATTCTTTGGATTGTACGAACATAAGACGGCGTGATCCCTCTTCACACAATTCTCACACGGATGTCTGTTATCACATTTGACCTTGCGTTGCCTGCAAGGCCAGCAAGCGGTTCCTAAGAATTTTTTCAGTGAGTGCCCAACGAAAGATTCTTGACTTGCAATCATCCAGTCAAGATTGGGGAAATGATCCATCATACCATATCGAACTTTACGATGCGAGTGTATAATTCTATTGGCCTCATCAGGAGTAATGGAGGCTTCAATTGGTTCTGATGGTCCTTCACTCATGGTCGTCGTGGAACAATTCCATTCAATTCATGAAACTAAGGTTGGGTGGGAATGCCGAGGGAAATCCGGAAGGTTGCTTATCTTACCCTCCAACTCCACAACTAGGTTATATTGGGTTTAGCGCTGTCACGTGGTGCATTGCCTGATATTATGCTTGGCGATGTAACAAGATGAAGGGGAAATGTGAAAAGAGGTTGATGACCTCTCAGAGAACATCAAGAAAATAATGTTGAAACGACCAAAAAGAGAAAGAGACACGGTACCACGGTACCGACACATCCGGCTGAGTGATTATACAATCGAGATCAATAAAACTCTTCTTCCAGCCATCATGCATTATTAAGAATAATTTCACATAGCCGGGCATAACCGGGATCTGCACATAGATTAACCTCCGAAGGGCGGAATCTAGTCGGGATATGACCTTGACGCTTCTCCTGCTTTCCCGATTCCTTTCGGTGATTGGATATTGCTGATGGTTGATCAGCCCTATGATGCTAAGTTGCATCCAAATCAGGAACAGATGTGGTTCTGCGTCGCAGCGTAGCAGTTGAAATCTTCTAGAAAGATGAGACTGTTGCGGAAATACTTCCATGGCAATACAATTCATAGCCCATAGTCAGTCCTTCAAACTCTAACAAAGTTCCGAAATATCCTCACCTCCACTCATATGAATGTTCTGCAACTCATGACCAGACCCCAATTTGCGTTGAAATGTCAAGTAGCTTTCACACAAGCTCTAAAGCTATCAGCAAGAGCTTCTGGAGATTACCCCTGGCTCGGAATACCACTCCTCGCGATCTTGATGGAAAGTCGAAATGTAGAAAAGAGTTCGAAAGTCGGTTTTAAAAATCGCCCGAAATTCATATTCATATTTTAAAATTTCTAAAGTTTATATATTCTAGAAATTAACAAAAAGAATTCCTTCTCCTGCAAGAATCAATTCAAAATCTCAATGGATTGTTTTGTTACGAATTTTTTGTTGGTGCGGATACTGCGATTCTTCATTTTCCTGGAAGCAGAATTGATTGATTGATTGATTTTTGTCTGATATTTTTTTTCTTCTTTCCTAACTTTTTTGTCTTCTCGAACGCCAGCTTAATCAGTCTTTGCAAAATTCGGATATGCAACAAAACTCTTTTGCAGGTCTTTTGAACATGTGATGTTCCTCTTTTCATTGGTGTGTCGGACCTGGGTCAACCTCGAGCCGATTGGGCAGAATGGCAACCCTAGCCAAGACAAGTGCAAGACCAAAACCTTCCACAAGAAGATATTCATTGTTAATAACAATGATATTACCTCGGAATGCACATAGTATTTACTGGTAGGAACTTGAAATCAATGAATCACAATCTGTATCTCAAGTGGGATGCAATTATGAATCCAATATACACCATGTTTACACCACGTTTACACCATGTTTACACCATGTTGATACCATTCAAAGATAATTCACCTTCAATACCACCTTCTTCACAAAGATTCAGATTTTGAATCGATTGTCCTGTCTGTGATTGTCATGCCTGTGGTTTTCTCTTTTTGGTCTATATATTATGCCTTCTACTCCTCAACTGCCTCGTCCCTCCCATCCAACAGATAACCTACATCAAAATACACGCCCATAGATTCCAACACAGAGAACTGATAAACACGATTAGCTATTCGTTGTCATGTCTTCTAAAGGCATCTACAATAAAGCAACAGTCTACAATCCTGTAGTCGCTCGCACTCAAGCTCCTCAACATAACCATACTTCCGATAGGTCTTCTTCTCGGCCCAATGCCCCTTTGTCATCTAGTCGGCAATCTTCTTCGATTGCTCCCATGCCACACACAAACCTCGTGAGAGACAATAAGTCGTCCGGTAGAGCTTATCCCTTGGCTGCTCCTAAACCGTACACAACACTCGAAAGAGACAATAACTCTTCAACTAGGGCATCACTTTCGAGACTCTTTGAACAACACACAGCACTCCAAAGAGATGGACAAGCTTCCTCGTCCCATGGAAAAACTTCAGCCTCTCATAATCATACCCTGCTAAACAGAGACCAACGTCCATCCTCTAGCTCGAGACAGCCAACCATGATGCGCGCAGCAGCAACAAATGCCCCTGCTGACGCAAAGAGCAGGTTTAAGTCTCAGCATGATATTCACATGGCTTCCAGACAAGTCAAATATCGAGAAATGAATCACGAAGAGAAGAAAAAACAGGACGAGTGGGTACGTGACTTCATTCAGTATGCCGGGCCATGTCCAGCCGGATTCAGCTGGGAGCGAGTAAAGTATGGATACGTCTGCAATGGTGGAAATCATTTATGCACGGATGATCTCCTCGCTGAAGGTAAAGGCGGATTTTATGTCGGAACTCTCGATGCTGGATGGTGGGGCCCAACTTATGACACGGACGTTATTGGTCAATACAGATTTGCAGAAGCTAAGGTCTGGAAGTACGCTCAAAAACACGGATTAGATCCAAATATTGCTCCTGTCATCCCAAAGCCAGACTTACCAGCAACTGGTGAAATTCACCCAGGCATTGCAAAAGCAATGGCAGGATTAAGACCCATGCCGCAGGCCCTCTCAATTGATGAGACACATTCCTTATTTACGGTAGTAGGGTATCCTGAGAGAATGGAACTTGCAGCGAGCTCCAGAGGCCATCGTATCCCTGCTGGACTATCCCATCATTCATCTGGTGCATCGCATCAGTTAAGCACTCTATATGGACCAGGAGGCCTGCCAAATAGACTTACAATGAATATGGGTAATGGTTCTTTATCCCAAGCAGGTCAGATTCCACATGGATTTGGTTTGCCATCTTATATGGGTGGTCCAAGCGGAGGTGGATCTTGTGGGAATGGATGTTGTGGGCACAGACATTGAGCGCGGTTGAGCGAAGGATGGAATTTGTACAAACATACGTTCTAGATAATCTAGATGATTATAATCATGCGTGAAGTTTAACTTGAGAGGGAGATATGTAGACAACAGATAGTCCAAATGCAAGCAAGGTATTAACGAAATTGAAGACCAGAGATGTGGATGTGAATATGAATATGAATATTTATAACAGAAAAATAACAGCAACTTCTAACCTACCTCCTCCTTTCTCTCCCTCAATTCACGTATCAAGTATCAAGCATCCCTCTACCCCCTGAATCACACCCAAAACTTCCCCCGCTTCCCCAAAAACCACAATACATATCCCTCATATTCCTATATCCCCATACTCAAACTCAAAAGTTAAAAATAATTATAAATATTATCTCCGCATGCGCACAGTACATTCACATTCACATTCACATTCACATTCACATTTCATATCTATCTATCCATCTATAAACAACAAATTCACCATATAATATAATATCTTATATCCATCTAGCTTCTAGCTATATACTTATAGATAGATATATAATATATAATATATGATTCATGCAAAAATACAAAAATAGTCAAGGGAAATTATGATTTATGATTTTTGATGGGGGATGTGGGGGATTTGGGAAAATTTGATGTCGGCTAAGCTTTTAGATCTTTTATGATAATGATAAATAATGTAATAAGACTCTTGTGTGAATTGGGGTGGAAAATGGAGATGTAGATGAAGGTGTGGATGTAGATGAAGGTAGGAGGTTTGGAATTTGGGATGAACTTGGGGGGAGTTAGAATGAGTTGTTGGGATATTGGGGCATTGGGTTTTTGGATGTAAGGGGGTGGTGATGAGAAGGTTGTGGTGATGAGAAGGTTGTGGTGATGAGGGGGTTTCAAAGTGGGAGGCGCGGGGAGCGAAGATTTGGGTTCTTTTGTGAGGGGGAGAGGGAGGATGGATGGTAGGGTGGGCTTTGGGCTTTGGGGATGGTTCGGCTTGTGGGAGTGTGTTGGATGTTGGATGTTGGATGTTGGATGTTGGATGTTGGATGTTGGATGTTGGATGTTGGATGTTGGATGTTGGATGTTGGATGTTGGATGGGTTGGGTGGCGATTATAGTTAGGATGTGGAAGTGGATGTGGAAGTAGGGGGGGGGATGGAATGTTAGGTTTGAGAATAGCCTGAATAGATGGAGGGGATGGGTAAGGAGGATAGCACACTGGAAGAAAGAGTGCAGATATCCTGGGTCATGAGTAGCCGAGGCTCATGTAGGACATAAATAATGGTTAGAACAGTGAAGGTTAATAGATATTTGGAACCGGCGAGGATGGTAGCACACTGACAGGGAGAGTGTAGATACCATTAGTCGTTGGTAGTCGAGGCTCATGCAGGACATAAATAATGGTTAGACCAGTGAAATTAGGGCAATGGAAACCATTCGGGTCCTTTCAGTTTTAGATTGAACTTTGAATTGAACTTTTATAACCTAAGAAGACGTGATTTCGTCATTAATTGCGAGCAGAAATCTAGACACGACTTTATGCTAGATTAAAAGAATTAAAAGGTTATTAACCGCAGGCAAAATATGATTGTTTTAATTCCACATAGCAGTAGACATTTTGCACACTTGAGTACAATTAAACAGGCTAATGTTTTCGGGGTCCAACATAAAGTGAGATCCTTAAGCATTGAGGGAACAGAAAAAAGTAATAGGAAGCTTTGATTTGTAGATCTCAGCCGAGGCACTGAACGGCACAAGACTCCTCATCTAGAGCGACTCAGAATACCTTGTATACGCTCAGCATTCCAGATCAGGTAAGGATAATTAATAAGTTCGTCGGACACAATGTGCAATATTAGGACTACCGAGCGAATCAAACTAACATCCTTCAATTATAAGAAAGCAACGTTTCATATTTGGAAGTTGAACTTTGGCCCCTCCGAAGAAGAGCCTCAACCTTACTTGTGGCTATCGCCATAGTTCATAAATTTCGACACCTCAGCACATCACCAAACCATACCCCTCAAACAAGGCCGAAGAGGTGAAGTCTGACGATGTACGGCTTGTTGGCGTGTAACCAGAGAAGATTCGTTGTCCTTGAGAACGAGTCAACTTCTTGCCTTAGCTTTTCGACCAATAACACATTCCACTTGACACAAACGCTTGTTTAACAATATGTAGCATGCGTTGACGCGTACGCAAGGCCACCTGACCACTGACTTGGGACAAATCTGATCTAGCAGAATCCGGGAAGTCCCAAAAAGATAATATCAAGTATGCATTTATCAATAGTTGAGCTTGATAACCTATCAATTCTTTTTCTCTTCTCCTGCCACACGAGGTGATATTCGAGCACATACATGTATGTACTGCTCAAAGAGGCAAATCGCCTAATCCCAAACGAGAAGCTTTAACAACATCCGCGATTCGATTGGTGCCTATGCACCTCCTCAATCTGCTCGCAATTCAAACGCGACGCTACCACTGGTAGATCCAGGAACCCAGTTTCTGGAGTATGCTATAAATATGTGGAGAGATATTCAACTTTTTCAAGATAACAAAGGAACCAGTACAAGTGTGGAACGAGGGAGTAATGTTCTTCCCCTTGTCATTGGCTACAGTGGAGACAGTTAAGAGGAGAGTAGATTCCATGGCTACTGGTATCAGGAATACCAACACGTCGGTGGACATCATAGGATTCTAATTGATTGCCAGGTTGAAAGGCGAAGTAGTAGAGAAGAAATGGATCCCCTCCCATTTTCTCACATGTATTGATATTCAGCCGCATTGGCGTATTCTGGTACTGATGAATTAATGAAGCATGATTTGATCAAGACTGGCTGTACTCAGGCTTCCTGATGTTCCTAATATTCCATGAAATAGCTAAAATTGTAAGATCTTACATTGATGATCATGCAGAAAATCGTAAAACGGACGGTCGGCGGAGGATGTCAATAATTCATTCTGAGATGCCACTTTGATAGGTCGAGAAATTGCCGGAAAATCTTCAGCCCGCGGTGTTCCTAGTCACGTGATGAATAGAGTTCTCCTTCCCCGTTCGTCCGTTCGTCCGTTCCCTCGTCCCTCATCAGTGTTCCATTTTGCATTCTATGAGTTCCCTGAAAGACTTGTATGACATGCTAATATTCATTAAACAATATGGCTGATTTTGTAGATCAAACTGCGTCGGACGTGTCCGGCACGGCGTCCGAGTCCACTGCAACCAAAGATAACAGAGACAGCAACTCAGGAGAGAAAAAAGTTCCGCCGAAGGCAAGCAGACAAAGATTCAAGCCACAATTATCCTGCACTTTTTGCAGAGCACGGAAGTATGCGAGCCAGATCATTCGATTAAATGTACACTAACACACCTAGATTAAAATGTGACCGTTCCTCGCCATGCAACAATTGCTCCAGAAGAGACCTATCATCATCATGCACATACATCCACAATTCACGTGAGAAGACATCTCAAATCCAAAAGACCAGAGAGAAAGCAAAGGATGTTCAAGAACGAATCAAAAATTTAGAGGACCTGGTTGTTGCTTTGATGAATCGAACGGAAAATACAAAAGCAACATCGGCTGTCTTATCAGGATTTCAGCCCTCTGCAATCGGGCCCCCAGAACTTCCATGGCCAGATGATACTACTATTTCTGAAAGTGCAGATTCTATTGGACGTATATCTGTTGACGATGAGATGCAGAACTATGTTGGCGGTGCCCATTGGATGGCGATCCTCGAGAATGTATGCCTCTTTCTTGGGATGAGTCTTCAGTATGGATCTGACATTACCTTAGATAGCTGGCTTGAAGGACTCATTGGGATCCGAGGAGTGGCCGCAAGGCACGGCGAGCAGGAATAATAAATATGAAGGACCCGAGCTGCTTCTTGGAGATAATACTAAAGCTTCGCGGGAATCTATTCTCGCTTGTCTTCCATCGAAGCCCCTGGCTGATAATTTGGTTGATCGCTACTTCACTGCGATCGATGCTTCGTGTAAGGTTAGCACTACGTGGAGATAGAAATGATTACTAATACGTAGTAGTTATCACTCATGCTCCGACTTTCAAGAAGGAGGTGAGAAAACTGCTAACATCAAACTTGGTTCTGTCCAGTTAACTCTTCTGTAGTATGCCGAGTTTTGGGACAATCCCGATTCGAAATCAATCTCCTGGATTGGATTACTATTTGGAATAATTTGCCTGTCTGCAAACTTTGAGTTAGCGATAGGAGATGCCCCACTACCTGCACTGTCAGACATGGCTGTACGCGAGACGGAACAGCGGATCAGACTATACCGCCAGAAAACGGTGCAGTGCCTCGTGGCCAGCAATTACACTGAACCTGGACTGTATACTGTCGACACTCTTCTCCTCTACTATCTCAGTGAGCATTTCCAAAGCAAAGACGCACACATTGGATCTTGGATGGTGCTTGGAATGGTTGTCCGTGCAGCAATGCGATTGGGCATGCATCGAGATGCGTCCCATTATCCCAATGTATCAGTTTTCCGTGGTGAAATGCAACGTCGACTCTGGGGGGCGATATTAATTATTGATATCCAGTCTTCGTGTCAAGTCGGGCTTCCTCGAATGATAAATCAAGGGATGTATGATACAAAGCCCCCTAGCCACATCCTAGATGAAGACTTCGATGAAAATATGGTAGTATTGCCACCTATCACGACGGAATACGAACGATCCGCCATTGGCCATGCAACTTTTAAGTATCGTCTTGTTCTAGTATTTGGAAAGATATTTGATGCGTCAAACCTTGTTAGTCCTATTTCCTATGATGAAGTAATGAGACTTGAAAAATTGCTTCTTGATGCTGTCGAGGAAATTCCAGAATGTTTTCGAGCCAGATCCATTCACGTCCTCAATAGCGGGTCTATATTGCAGAGGGTTAGGAGGTTCTCAATTGAAATGACCTATCTCAAATCTCGATGTTTTCTTCATCGCAAATTTCTCTCGGAAGCCGAATCATTGCAGAAACACTCTTATTCTGTCAAAGCGTGCGTTGATTCTTCAATGCTAATTCTACAATATCAAAATTATATGACCATTGAGGCAGCGCAAGGTCGTCCGTTGCACGGCATGAAATGGATTACATCTTCTTTGATGACTTACGATTTCCTCTTAGCTGCAACACTTCTTTGCCTCTATCTAGGGCACTTGATGGCAATAGAGGGGAAATCTATGCATATTAGGTCCCTAGAGTTTCCAATTGACTGGACCAAGGAAGATGTTTTGCAAGCCTTGCTCAAATCTTACCAAATTTGGAATAATCCCGAACTTTCCTCGGAAGATACTATGAAGTTTTCGAAGGTACTAAAAGCCATGCTGAACAAGGTTGGTCATTGGCCCACGGCAGATAAGATCCAGGCCGAGGCTTCAAAGGAGGTAGCAAACGAGGCTAACACTGGTATATCACCACCTCAACGTCGAGAGGTTCTCTCTGCTAACACTCCTGCAAAAGGTTGCGTTCCAAATCATCTACTTTCGAACATGTATCCCTTATCACCAAGTAATTATGAAGCAAGTCCAAGCGAGTCCTCTACATCGAATATTGGTATGATAGGAGACATTTTGAGCGATCCAACAGGTCTCGATTGGGTAAGTGAAAAGAAATTCAGAATTTGATAGATACTAATTAGGATGTACAGAGCCTTTGGGATAGCAATTTCCAAGGGAGCAACACATATATTGATGCAGGATCATCACTTTATGCTACTGACCCGTACTTTCCGTTTCAGGCAGCTGGATTTGAAACCAACAGGGAGCGCAATCAATGATCACTAATTAAATGGCCAAGATTGGCTGATTACCAATGCATGGCTTGTCCAAAGCTTAATTATAGGGTGCGGCCAGGAAACCGGTTTCCAAGAAAGCTTAGGGCTACCAATGCAACATAAGCGAGGCGTTTTGTTATTGGTTGGTGATAGTAGGTTCGCGTGTAGCACACGCTTCTTGCATGATCTGGGGTACGACAACTATCAATTGAAAATCTGGTAATTCCAATTCTACCGGTTTCCACACCACCACCAACACCGCCGCCACCACTATACTAATGAAATTTCCTCTCCAAAAAATAAGTCTCAATATGTGATGATAGATGACGAGTCCATTGCGTTGTCACACGAACTGAAAAGTACTGAAGCGGCAGGTAGATGGCCGGATGATTGTCGAACACTATCTGAATCTGTCAGGTGGTGTGTCGCGATAGCGAGTGAAGGATTGAGAAGGGAAGGTCTATTCTGGTGATAGCAAGCTCAGGGCCATTACACCAGAATACATCCTCGCCTCTGTCAAGTGGCATTTTGTGTAACGTTGATGCAATGCAATGTTTGATTATACGCAGAGCATAACAAACTTTCACATGTCATAGCTCTGTCATTAGGCATTTCTGCGCCTTCTAAATGGAGTATCCGGGCCTACTCCGATCTACTAGAGTATTAGGAAACTGGCAAATCTATTCAACTCATCATGTCTGCCCCGCACGAGACGCATGGCAGTTTTGATATGAAGAAATTGAATCCATTACTCTCAAGCATATCGGATCTCGGCAACACATCACCGATTTATGACCGATTAGGAAGCCAACCTTAACTTTGCGATGTTATCTTTGTGCTTAGAACATTGCCAGACATTGCAATCATTGGTAAATATGTAAGTTGACCTATAACGGACGTGTTGCTCCGTGTCGTCAGTCGGATATGTGAAGTGACGAGGAGGGAAGAAGTTGAGAATGTGGAGAAGAAAGTGGTGTGGTCGAAGTGAAGAGATAAAGAGGTGTGCCCGGAACGCTTTGTACGATTTGAATTCAAGTGTATACGGTTTTCTTTCCTCAATCACCCATCAGTTTCAATAGCCAAGATCTTCAAGGATGGCTTTCATCAAAGGCTATGTGATCTTGCTGATCACTTTCTTCCTCAAAGAGAACGTCCTGGCAGCACCAACTGGAGATCCCCTCCTTGGTTACCAACCCTCAAACGTCGTCATCAACCAAGATACCGACAGTACCGATTATGGACTTGCACCAGGCCAAACTGATTCAGCAACCATAGGCGCCTTTCTTGACTTCAATGGTGTTGAGGATCCTCAACCGATTCGCGGCAGCAAAGGTGGTACTGACCCGGGTCCACGAACCGAAATATATGATATCCTCAATCCCGATAAATTTGCACCTCCAGGCACCGATCATGGAAGTGTGAGTAACGCGCAATGGCCCATGGGACTCAGTCATGCAAAGTTAGGACTCGGTTCTGCAGGCTGGTCGAGACAACAAAATGTGGATAATATACCGGTTGCTACTGAGATGGCAGGTGTGGATATGCGCTTGGAGGAGGGCGCTTACCGCGAATTGCATTGGCATAAAGCAGCAGAATGGGCTTATATATTTAACGGGAGTGTTAGGCTTCAGGCTGTTAATGAAGACGGCGAAACATTTGTTGATGATTTGAGTGCGGGCGATGTTTGGTTCTTCCCACCGTAAGTTGGCCCTCATCATATACTGGCTACCTGAGCTTCTTCTCGCTTGAGATAAACGATCTTTTATATACTAGTTCCTATGTATCGAGTTGCTAACAAACATTATTTAGAGGTGTACCACACTCCTTACAAGGATTAAAAGGCGGAACTGAATTTCTCCTGGTCTTTGATGACGGAAGTTTCTCTGAAGACAATACCTTCTTGGCTACAGAGGTCTTTGCGCATAACCCAGTATGATAAAATCCTAGCATCACAAAGACAAGCGCTAATAACATTTAGGTTGAAATCCTCTCCAAGAACTTCCAACTTCCCGAATCCGCCTGGTCCGACATCCCTTCAGGAGAACTCTTCATCTTTCCCGGTACAAAGGCCCCTACCGATATAGCCGAACAAAATGTTACCGGCTCAGCTGGTCTCGTTCCTCAAGAATTCTCCTACTCTTACCACCTTTCCAAAGCCCCCCCTACCCATGACACGGTTGGTGGGAGCATCAAAATTCTCGACCCGAAATCCTTTCCCCTCGCTGCCCAATTTTCCGCCGCAGTTGTAACTGTGCACCCTGGCGCTATGCGCGAAATTCATTGGCATACTACTAGTGACGAATGGAACTTCTTCCTAGCTGGAAGTGCGAGAATCAGTATATACGCGGCACAGGGGATGGCGAGGACGTTCGATTATCATGCAGGAGATTGTGGGTATATCCCCAAGGGGATGACGCATTATGTTGAAAATGTTGGGAAGAATGATTTAGTTTTCATTGAAGTTCTAAAGGCTGATCACTTTTCGGGTAAGTTTTGTTTATTGTCGGGGTTTAGAAGAATGCTAATGCGTCATAGATATCTCAGTTGGTCAATGGGTCGGCTTGACGCCCAAGCAGATTATAGCAGATACCCTCAATCTGACCAATGAGACTGTCTCGGCTTTCAAGAAGGAGAAGCAGTACATTGTGCAAGGTGATGTGGTTGCTTGATCGGGCTTGTGGTATCCTGGGTTCCAAACTTTCCTCTCGTTTTACAACGTCTAGCTCTCAATATTCAACTTCGTTACTGTCAATTCTAAACGCCTTTATCTCTTGTCGCAAAAAGGGATTTTCGATTCTCATATCATTAAAGGCATATGGAATCATAGAGTTAGCTTTCTGATAATTTCATCACATTGTCTCAAGCATCATGCCAGTTTCAATTCAAAGACGTGACTTTTGTGTGAAAATGATTTGTCGTGCGTACCAACACATGCTTAGAAATCTTCAATGCAAATTGAACACTCGACGGCCTTCATCTACAACAAACATCCTTACAGTATCCTCGCAATCCTATTTGCTAGCCCATCCTTCTCCCCATATGCGGCTCAGCGTAAGCTTCCCTTGGCAGTCTATTTCCCCTAGTGCTTACTGACTGACTACCGTATGCACGCCACTCCTCGTATCGAGAAGAGGGGTACGGTGATCTTCTGTAGCCACATATATGTTTGATGACATCCATGTCCACATGGTTGAACCTGCAGGCTTAAGTTTATGATGTACGAGATATACTAGAGTTTATGCATATTGATATGTATATGCCGCTGCAGTCATCATAGATATTTATTTCTAGATCCTTGGTCTAGAACGTCACCTTTTACATTTTCTGTTTTTGATATTTAATTACTCATGCTTTTTGTTGTGTGGTGGCTTTATTTTAAAAGATCATAAAAATAAAAGGGAATAGATGGGTGGATGGATAGTGTTTTTCGTTTAGATGTATATATGTAATACATGTACGTATGTGTATATATATATGTAATGAAAATCGCGTATAGCATTCTATTACGAGAAGAAAACCTATTAATTACTTAACAATTAGATGACAACAATAAAATACTCGAGTAACCTTACAGCATTTCCCCGGAACTCTAGCTTCATACTTCATAATCATCATGAATTTTTCTGGGTATGTATAGTAACTGCATGTCTATCCTCCTAGTTGATCGTAAATCAAAACACAAATTAGGTGCCTGTATTCAGTTACTTAGGCATGGTTATAACGTCATCTAAGACCTTACATTACAGCTACGTATACCAAGTAGTTAGTTCGTTCATGATATCATCAGGAAGTTGATCGTGCAGTAGACTTGAGTTGCAGGAATGCGATGTAATGTAATGTAAGGTAGTATAACATAACGTGAATAAGTCTTGCATAAAGCTTCCATTAGAATCAAGTTATTTATAAGATTAAATAATTCTCTGAACCCGGGAACATTTCATTCACATCACCAGACCCAGCTTTCTTCTTGCCTCCCCTCTCCTATTACTTTTTTCCCCGTACACACTTCATCCAAAAATTCTTCCTACTTTCTATCAACCCTTTCCCCCTCCCCTACAGTTACTTCCCAGCGTTTCCTTCATCTCCTCTTCTTTCCATCCTTTTTAATCTCCAGATGATGTTCCTCATCCAGATACTCAGTATTCTTCCAAATTCCAATGTCCCCTTCGATACTTTACTCTTCACGCCGTACTTATTCCTCGATCTAAATCCATAAAATACTCACTCCACTTGAAGATTTATAACCTTCCTTCAAACTGTAAACCTCTGGAAGCAATTAGCCTTCCATCTCAAATAGCAGTCTCCTTCATTTGTATGTAGTACAGTTGTATAGAGGTCAATGTATACCTGAGCTCATAATTTCCTAGTAAATATTTCTTCCGAAAACTTTATCAATACACACATATATATATAAACAATCCAACAACCCACAAACAAAAATTCAATTCCCATCCCAACTCCCTCCCAATCACTCACTCGGCTCACCCACCCGTCCAAACAAAAACTAAACTCCATATTTCCTCTTTTTTTCTAAACTCACATCAATCAACACTAATAGATATCTCTAACCTTACAACAAAGAGATATCCCACCGAAACTCCCAACGATTTTCCCCCTTGGGAAATACATATTTTCCGTGTATTCGTGAATTAAAAATCGCGTCAAGAACAAATATCAAGGATAAATACCTACTACATTCCCTCATTACACTTCACATCAATGCATATAGAATAAGAACCACTTAATACTAGGAAGGTATAATGCCAAAAAAGAGCATACATCACAAATATTCGAGAGAAAAAAATAATAATATACATATGCTCCTCCTACGAGTCAAGTAAGACCAGAAGTAAAAACGAAAAGAAAAAGAAAAGTAGCATCGCATTCATTCATGAAGAAATAGTCCACCAGCCCTAGCCCAAAAAAAGATTTTGCCTCCAATTATCATCATACATAGAACATAGTTTCCGAGTCATTTTTTTATTCCAGCCTATCCCCAAGCCTGAATACCTATCACACTCGTCAAGCCAAACCAATGTCTACCTCCCTTTCGTGCTCGTCCGCTTTAATTTCAATTCAATTGTTGAAACGACAGAAAAGCTTCAACGATTCCTTTTTGAACTTGCCATCTCTCCGTACCTTCCTCTCTCCATCGTCGTATCATATGCTTGCAGCACTCTGGTCTGTGACTCGTCCGCTTGAGAGAAGGCATAACCACGCTGTTTGCGCATACGTTGAACTTGTCGGACTTTGCGGATGGCTTTCTGGAACTGCTCCATTCTGTGATTGTGGTAGTTAGAAAAATGCCAAACAAAGCACGTAAAAAGGAAAGATAGATGGGAATGTACCTTGGTCTATAATCTTGAATGTTGTATTTCTGAATCTCTTGGATATGGTGATAGGATTGTGGATAATACATGCGTTTAGCACTTGAGTTGTTGATTAGTATTTCCTAATAAAAAGAAAGATACTTAAGATAGACTTACTATTTCCATGAAAAGTCTCTTAATAAGCAAAGTATAGGCAATACCAATCCTTGAATCCAAAAGACCGGACTTCCAAATAATCGAGGAACAACGCCTTCATATTCCATGGAAAATCCGAGCTTAGGCGCCACGGTAGCATACACAGCGATGAAAATGATCCAGATGATCATACTACCAGGTATGGCTATAACGTGATACTTTGTCCAGACATTTACCACTAAAGCTGCCTTTCCGAGAACGGTCGCCAAGACGGCGGTATATAGTGCTGTTCCCCATACCCAATGGCCAGCTGTTTTGCCATCGCCCTGTGGTAGATCACGCCACCAAATAAGTTCCGATGCGATATAAAGAATCAAAGAGTGGTAGAAACCATTACCAACCCAAGCCCAGAATGAATGTTGCCTGAAGAATGTGTTCTTTTGGCCTAGTTGATAAAGTTGCGGATATCTATCTAGGAGTCGGGCAGATATGAACTGATCAAATATACCCATCGCGAGTGGAGGAAGAACTGTAAAGAAAACATTGTAAAACGATAGCGTCCAAGATTCGTAAATGACCTCTCCAGAGAAAACATTTTGGAACGAATACTAGAGATCGTTAATGATGGATCAAACCAGATAACTGATAAACTTACCCAGAATTGTGTCATGTAAAGCGTGATATTTTTGTAGAAAGAATAGAGAATGACTTTGCTGACACGTTGGTAACTCCATGCGCCATGAACCAGGAGAAGTTTACGCAGATATCTGAATTGTCCAATCGCAACATCGGCACTTCTAGCGGCTTGTAGACCTTCCATACCACTGATACCCACACCAATATGGGCTGCTTGAATCATTGAGACATCGTTCGCTCCATCACCAATAGCCAAGAGGATAGCTTTTTTATTGCGCTTAACGAGCTTGACGACCAAAGCCTTTTGAAGTGGAGACACACGACAGCATATAACAGCTTTACACATAACAGCAAGGTCAAGAAAATCTTTCTCCAAATCCTTTTCAAGAGCATAAGTCAAAGACTTCCCATCAATGACCAATGCAAGAGTTTCCATAGCAATAGTACCATCGCCCTGAGTTCTTATGGCATCGAGTTTCTTTTGTATGTTGTTTCTAGTATCCATGGCTGTTTCCTCGTTGACGATGAGAAGGGTCATATCCTCACTGATTAATTTACAGCTCATCCCGATATTGATAGCAGTTTCTTGACGATCACCAGTCAAAACCCAGACCTTGATGCCGGCCTCTTGAAGAGTATGGATCGTTTCAGGGACACCATCTTGTAAACGATCTTCAATTGCCGTTGCTCCCAGAAGCGTAAAATCCCGCTCGAGAATTTCAGCAGCTTTGTCCAATTCATCGGCACGATTACCGCTGACGGTAGTCTGGGCTTTATCAAAGACTGCCCACCACTCTTGAAACTCCTGTTCGGGAATTTCTCGCATGGCCAGACAAAGTGTTCTTAGACCCTCCGATGCATATTCTTCCAAGTGTTGAAGTGTGGCTTCAACATGTGGATTGTCTGGACCAAGCCGTTCCAAGATAACAGTATCGGCTCCTTTACAGTAGCATCTGAGTTGCCCATCTGGGCATCGGAAAATTGCCGACATCCTCTTCCTCGTTGAGTTGAATTCGCAAACTGCAAGAAGCTCATATTCGTAGACCTCGCCAGCTACCGTTATCTGTACAGATCTTGGCCTACGTGCGGTGAATTGGTAACCCATCAAAACAGCGCCTTCAACCAGAGCACCCTCATCAGGAGATGCTGCCTGGTATTTGATAGCGCCACCCTTCTCGTCAGATCGTTCTGGAATAACCGTATGACAGGTAGCTAAAAGGGCAAGGAAGTGATGGATCGCCAGAGCAGTCTCGTGTGTTTTGAGGTTCTCTTTAAGTCGATGAAAATCATGAATCCCGACCTCCTGTCCGTCGATATTTGTGGCTCGACGATCTTCTGGAACATCCTCTGCGTATTGTATCCCGCCAATAGAGCATTGCTTGAATTCCATTTGATTGCATGTTAATGTTCCTGTCTTGTCCGAGAAAATGTATTCCACCATACCAAGCTCCTCAACTAAGCTCGATGTTCGACAGACAGCTGGAGTATCCGTCTTGTCATGGTACATGTCGAGGTCATCATTGATAAGAATCGCATGCCAGTATTTGACCATCTCGACAGTGACGAAAAGAGAAATGGGAACCAGGGCAGAATAAAGAACCCAATATGTGGCTATATCAGAGAAGAATTGCGAGACCTTTTTCGACGCAGTGATCGAAGGAGAATACCCTAGGTAGCTTAATTCAACTCCCTTGATTGATCTAACAACAACATCACCCATTGAACTTATGACACTCAAGGCGATCAAGATAGCTACAAGCATGAGAACCAGTATATTGAGTTGTCGCTCCACGGCGGTTCTCTTAATTGGTGTTGCCGTCGCATTCCGCATGAGCTTGGTTTCATGACCAGTAAATACAACAACTCCATGAACCCAGGGTGTGTTACGTAAAGTCGCACCTCTGAGCAGAAGTTGATCTGGTTGCAAAGAAAGCTCTTTCTCTCCACCGCCAGCCGCCATGGTAAGGGTACCTTCATAGGTATACAGACTGCTATTCGGTTGTTCCGATCGTAACTTTCCGCCTAATCTACTGAGTTCACTGGAACTGACCATAACACATGTTTCCGGAATCGCCTGCTTAATTTTGAGGTTAGTCTCACCGTCTAGATTGGCAGTTTCGATGTAGCATAGTCCCTCAGGTTCCGAACTAGCCAGTAAGATGATATCAGCAGGAAATGACTCTTCAGATTCCACTCGAACGATGTCGCCGACAGCAATATTGATCCATTTAGTGTCCGTGAATGAAGACCCACGCAATACACGAGCTTTTGAATTGTTTAGAGAAGTGTCAGATGTTTTTCTCCTATAGTCCTCAACTAATTCTTTACCAGCAGAAACTAGGAGGACCAAGATTAAAGGTCCAATTGTGGTGTATTGGTTGGTTGGTGAAATATCAGGGATCTGCTGCAATGCTGCAGTAAACAAGAAGAATAGATTGGCAAATTTAGAAAACTGTTCGAACAAAAATTTCGGTAGGAAGGTGGCAACGTTGTACTTCGCTGTAGATATGTGATTGTCAACATATTTGTTTGCGCTGTTGGCGGGAGGATTGTTGAGATGTATTATTCGGGGACCAAGAGTTGAAGGATCTGGCTTCCCTCTACCAAATCCAAATTTGAAATTCCCCAGCTTGTTTCCAGGTTGTGCAGGCGTTTCAGGTTCATGTGTATCATCCGCTCGATTCCTCGCCCCTGCTTCAGTCAAGGGTAGATCCATTTCTGAATATTCCGGTGCCATTCCAAACATACTCTTTGCCTTCCCCATAATACCACCTCCCAGACTCATTATGCTGTTGCGATTCCGTCCATGACCCCTCATTTCCGCTCCGTCTCCAGGAACCGCTGTGCCATGGTTATAGTACTGAGAAGAGCGTCCATCGTCCGAGGAAATCGTCTAAATCATCCGCATAGCGTTGGTAGTTATTCAGACCTGAAGTCTGACTATATGATGCTGAGGTGTTGTGAGCATATGGCGGTTGTGATCCAGTCGCGGCATAGCCGGGTCCTCCTGGAAGATGGCTTGTGGAAGAAGGTGTTGCAGGTGATGGAGCGCCAACGAAATTATCGTAAGAAATTGAAGGCCGGGGATTCGATTCATCATGATCCGCATTGTAGGCGCGCAAAAGGTCATCGTCGTTCATAGGGGCGCGCTGCCCAGTATGGTAAATTGGTTGTTCATCATGCAAATCGAGAAGTAAGTCGTCCCGATCGTTTAAAGGCTGTCCAGCCATGCTGGATTACAGCTCGAGGTCGTCGCGCTCAAGGCGGAGATCAGATTGTACTCATGCGATTCCTAATTGTCCAGAATTGTTGTGATATTTCGCGGAGTTGAATTTCGTTGTTCTCTTGGCTTACAGTTGCATAGCCTCTTTGTAACGTTTAGGGATGAGCGATGTAACGTGAGTGCCGCTCGATTTCTTCAACGTTTAGCCAATTCCTTGCGTAAATCGTGGACTGGGAATTTGGAATTTATCATGCGGCCTCGTGTTCGTGAAATGTGCATTAAGCTCAGGGTCAACGAGAGGGATTTTCCAATTCGTATTTGAGTCTTGGAGGGTTGTTTTGGTTGCTAAATTGGGATTGATACCCACAATAATAATAGAAGTGGTTATAATAATAAGTTAACCTTAATGTTACAGGGAGAGCTTTAGCTTCGCTTCAGCCTTCCTCCCTACGCAAGGCCACTATGGGCCCGCCTCGCCCGCATTCTGACTTCGCGCAATTGACGTTGACACTGACATTGACATCACATCACATCCACATAAAAATCATCGTAACAACGATTACTCGTACCCTTATTACACCTTTTCAAAATGGTTTGCGCAAAGTGTCAAAAGAAATCCTCGGGCACCACTTCTTTGGCAACCCCGGAGGTTAAGAAGAAGAATGATATGTATTTTGGTTCGCCCGCTGGATCATCGTCATCCAAGGCTGGTACGAAAACCTCCGCCACTTTAGGGAATAATGGCATAGGCAAGGTAAGATTGATTGATTGTCGCACACTATGTCTGACGATTAACATTGTGTCGCAGAGCAAATTATTGTCGAAAGCTGCGAGAAATCCTTATGCTACATACTCGACAACCTGCACTGGTAAGGAGTGCAGCACCAAAATTGATCAGGGTAGAAAATACTGTCTGAAGTGTTCATACAAAGCGAACGGTATATGGCTATGCGCTCAGTCGGGGCTGTGTTATGAAGATTCTAACAGGAAAACAGCATGCGCAATGTGTGGAAAGTCTAACTCAAAAACGTCATCCACCGCTCCCGTCGTCGCCGGACAAAAGTTCAATCTAAAATGAGGAAATTCACGCAACTGGCGACAAATACTTTAATGAAATATATGGGAAACGGCGTCTGGAGTATATGCAAGGTCTTTATGGCGAGCAGACAACGGCTCATGAAATTGCTTGGTATTTATGAATTAGCGGGAAACATTACAACGTTCATTGCTTATAGAAGGGATAATCAAACTGAGGCACTGGAGAACGTGGGATTATACCGATCATGGATCTTTTTTGAAGAATATACTTCATATATTGCCTTCGACGCATCGAATTATGATATCGGGTATACACTTGTGTGTGTATATCCGGCATAGCCACAGTTGGAAACCAGAATTTATATGAGATAGCATTGAAGGAATAATAAGATTACAATGTAATTGTGGAGCAAAGATCCACAGTCGCTATACGGATTCAAGAATAAACATGATACTGGAGCATAACAATTTCTTGGAACAATCCTTTGTATGCTTCTGGTTTGATTTAATGTCTCATTTTGAATCAAACAATCACATGTCAAAATTGGAGGAGAAAAAGAAGAAGAAAGGAAAAGAGGAGGGAGACCGGGTTAGTTGCGATTTGGGAAGCTGGCAAGTGTTTCATGATTCGTACACGCGATGTTAAATTTTCGTTTAATATCATAGTCTGACCTTTAGCCCGTTGAATATGCCTAGCATCTACAAATGTACAGTCTTTGTGGAGACCTCATTCATTCCTTTCTATAACAAACTGCAAGTGGCAATTATATGGGACAGATGATTGTACGGAAGCAGAAATCTGATGGCCACACTGCCAGAATCTTAATCTCCCTCTTCATTCGTGGGATGGGTATACATTTTATACAGTTTGCTATGATCAACATTAGTTTCCTGTCCAAAGACTAGGAGTATAAGGAAGAAATACCAAGGCGTCCATTGACGACAACCTCTGAGCGGGGTTGAAATGTGAACATTTTGGAGCTCACGTCATAGATGACTTCTATCGTATTGAAGGGTGCATTGCGCCGTGTCGGGTAGTCTCGCATGTTGATTATTCGTAATATTTTGTATTCTGTTTTCAATGATGGTTTTCTGGGTTTTTGACAGGTACCGGGGAGCTTCTGGTTGTGCAACCTTTTTTCTTTTTATATATATAGTATAAGATATCCACAGCTCAAACTACAAGCACACTTAGCATCAAGCTTCAACGCATTTCTAGTACCTTGAAGTCCTTTAGCACCCAAAATAACCACGCCATTCAAATCACCCTCAAACCATCATTCATTAATCATATCATCCTCCCCGCCACTTGCAGTGAAATTTGGTACGAGCTCCTCCTTTCAGACCGCTTACTGCCACCAAACTTCTCTTGTGAGGCGCAGTAGATATCCTCAATAAGGACGACCCCATTTTCTACATACCAAAACTCGAATGTAACAAACTAGATATGACCCAAGCATCTCGAGTCTCTAGAATTCATGTTCAGTAATGAAAGACTTCGAGTATGACCCGAATGTGAATCTTTGGTTGATCCTATCGTATGTCAAATATATTGCTTAAACTCTTGATTTGCGTCTGCTTGCCATATCCTGGGACACCTTCTCAATAGGATTGATATCATATCGTGATTTTTTAACCTCATTTCCATTATTTTCATTTCTCCGGGATGTCGTTTATCACCAAATATTCTAAAGACATACCAAATACACGTCTTTAATCATATTAATATCATCTTCTGAAATTGCAGTCATATGAAACCCTTATGAAAGAAATTTGAATGACTACAAAATCGGTCGAGACCTGAGGTGTCACACCATGTGACTGTAGGTAATCTGTGATTATCTAGGGTGACTGTGTTGGAGACTGGAGTCACATTCTCGATCGCTTGTGTCGCCCTCTCTACTTTAAATTGAGCTTGTTCCTACAAAGTTCAAACACTTCTTTCATTAAATGGTAACGTGCAATACATACTACCTATCGCCAGATACCCAAGGCGTTTGTAGAACTTCAACAAGTTCGGTAACATCAGGACCCCAAATATCCTCAATATCCTCAATATCCTCAATCACCCAAACATTCTACATCCTCGAGATAGCCAAGGAGAATATTGTATTCAAATTCGCTCAGACCTCAACCTCAAACTTATCGATCATTACCAATATCCAACATGGACTCACCACCACCCCCTTACAGTGTCTCTGAAGGCGCTCCCGAGAATCAAGCTGCTCCGGAATACACTACCCTCCTGGCTGATGAACATCCAAGAACACAACCATCGCCGCCTCCATACACACCCCTTGTCACTGCAAACGCCAATACAAATTCCGACTCAACCGGCTACAAGCTTTGCCTTAAAAATACATCCCTCAGGATTTCTTGGACAGGTCCCATTAATGCTTTCGAGGGAAACAATGTTATTCAAATCACGCGGGCGGTGGGCAGAGACCTCGGGGTCCTAGTCTGGGATCCTAGATTTACATTGTATTATTCCATAATTAGTCCCGCGGGAAAGAAGATACGTGATGGATTCATGTTTGGAGACTGTCGTGCCGTTACTGCGAAGCTTTCTGATGATGGGCGCGTGAAGGTTCCCTATGCCATGTTACTCTAAGGATATTAGTGTTTGGAAAATGTAATCTTAACAATGCAACCTCGGTGCTTCAACTGGAAACTTTCAAATCGTAGCTTTATCCACATCATAGTTAAGTTTACCTCGGATAAACTCAGCTTGCAGAAATAGAAAATTATTAAACCATGTATATGTCCAACATTCTAAGTGCCGATTGTATCTTTGATACTTCCAGAAAATACACATTTTTGCTCGGCTTTTAAACGTTTGACCTTACCATTCAAATAAATGGAAGTGTGACCCGACTGCTTTGCCCTGGGCCATTCAAGCAATAATCCGAATTCAACAGTTGTAAATGCTAAAAAATTTAGGAGAGAAGAAGATATGGCTCTAATAATTTAAAGCGCACTGTACGGGCTAAATCGGAGCTGAGTGTTTGTGGTGTCGCATTTCATACTGGCCTATATACATACTGACTTGGGGGAAATAGGTATAAGATCATAAAAGTATATATATTTATGAAGGAGTATACATAAGATTCGTTTGTATTAGTGTTAGATATATAAAATTTAAAAAAAATAAGATTGTGAGTATAGTAAGATCCTATTATGTTTATAGAATAATAGAACAGGAGGAATTGATGTTTTTCTAACGGAAGATAGATATTTGAGATTATAAGATAATTTTAAAACTAAAAATTCCACTCCTCGATAAGAAAGAGTTTTAAAAATAGACTTTTTAAACATATGTTATATATTGATTTATGGATTTATTGATCTATCGATTCCTTATTAATCCGTTCACATCAACAACAACTTCAATGTCGATGCTAGTTTAGAGGTTGCTGCCCGGATTATTGTTAATCCATTTGTGGTTCTACCTGGCTAGGCCCTTTCGACTTCGAAGATCCTCAAGAAGTCTCACACGTCGAAATTATACTCTTCGATGTAATTTCTATATATTCAACATGGAATCAGTTACTCGATCTATATTGTACCTTCAAAAAGTGATATATAAATATTAATTCTCTCATGACTAAGATTTTTAAATATCAAAAGCAATAAACAGTTCTTATATAAAGTTGTGATGTTTTCGCAGAATGACCGGTTTGAGTATGGGCATTTTCTATCCCCGCGATTACTAATAATTATCTGCTGGTAGCTTTTTTTTTCAACTACGCCGTAATACCTCAAAAGTAAAAGGGACTTGCCCATTTTCAGTGATCCCTTTAATAAATTGATTTGAAGCTTCCAAATTTACATATTTTATATGTGACTTCCTTCGGTAAAATTACCAAGTAGATCCTGAGGAATTTGAATTCATTAAATTTTTTGCGCTTTCAACTTAAGTAACCTTACCCCTCGTCAAAATTAGAGCTACTCCTAGTACTTACTCTATGACGATACGATCAATGGTCCATCCCTCTACTTAACATCCTTGATAATTGTCACAGTCTCCAATTGTCGACCTTATATTAGTAAAAATGGCTTCAAGAACTTGCAATTCATGTCTGCGGGCGCTGAAGTTTCAATCAAAACGTACTGCTAGGGTAAGTTAACTCTGCTTCAAAAAGCGAGAATATCAATCACTAACCTCCCCCAGAACAGCATCGCGAAATTCACCTCCAATCACAATTCTACTCGAGCCTTCGCAACGGCTAACGACAAATATGCAAATCTCGCAGAGGTCAATCAAAATCATGGAACATCAATTCCTCCTGTTACACCTCCTGCTGCCGGAGACAAGGCAGGCCACACCTCACGTACCTCTCAAACCCTTGCGAAGGAATTCCAAAAAGTTTCCGGCAAAGGCTTAACCGGAACTTATACCGCATATGGAGCCACAGAAGAGCTGTATAAAACCTGCGGGGCGCAAGCAGACTATTCTATACCACAGGCGTCGGATTCAGAGGCGGAGATGCCAAAGACAGAAGAAGGTGAAGACTTAGGCGTTGGTAATGGCTGGTGGCATGATAGTAAGTGCTTCCCCTCCCCCGGGAGTAGATAGTGTCAGCATGACTGATTTTACCAGAACTAGGATTAAAACCTACCTTCAGCACCTGGTCACAAGTAACCATGCTTCATTTATATTTACTTTCTGTACGCCTTAGATGTCTCCCTGGTACCGAATCGCAGCCTTGGCAACAACATCTTCTCGACCATTTCTTCTATGATGCTGAGAATAAAATGATTATCAATCATAATATGCATGCTCGTGGTACCCGTAACAAATATCTTAAAGATATGTTTGTTCAATGGCGAGGTCTTCTAGCGGCTTACGATGAAGGTCTGGCGAAAGGTGATGCTGTGTTAGCGGCGGCTGTCTGGAGAAATGTTTTCAAGGCAAACGAGAATATTGATATCAAAGGACTTGCGACGATCGTCAGCTATATGAGAAGGTCTCTGCAAGATTTGGAGAAACTAACAGATCAGGAGGTCATGAGCGGACAATTGACCTTTAGAGACCCTGCAGATGAGGCAAGTCTCGTTGGAGTTAAAAGCAAAATGATGGATTTGCCACTTGATAAGACTCAAGGGAAGAAATTATAGATGGAAAATGGCAAGAGGAGTATAATGTGAGCAGTGTACTCAACTGTATTTCATACATTTGTATTATTAATGAAAAAGGATGCTATCAAATAAATGCATCTATAACTTGATTGTTGGTGCGGGGGAGGCGACATGAATAGAGCATGATAACATGGGCGGAAAACCTTTACTAGGAAAATATTATACTTCAAGGCGTATAGCCCACAACTACAATGTAAGATCTTAACTCACTCGGAATAACAAGAAAACAAAAGCCTCCCACGTTTCAGGACACGGCAAGTATTGTTTCCATAGTTGTCGAGTAGTAATAGATAGTGCTCTCATCATCCCATCATCTCATCTTCTCTATTTCTGTGTTCTAGTACCTATCTAGTTATATCTTGAATCTTGTACATATATACGCTCCTTTCATCGCTATGTCTTTGGGTGAAGTATTTATATCTATATTTTCTTTTTGGTACTTTGATTGTGGTAGATGGTAGATGGTAGATAGGAAATAGTAGCTGGATATTCTTTGATTGGGTAGTTGGGGTGGTAGGTGGTTAATAGCTAGATGATTAATAGCTAGATGAGAAACTTGAGATGGGGTGGAATGAGGGGTGAGTGGGATGGGAGGGAAGAGGGGGGAGGGATGGATGCCAATTTGGAATGATGGAATGGTGTGCGTTGTTCAAGTTTGTTGGGAGGTTGGTTGGATGGAGGATTTGGAGTGTTTGTATATAATATGAGGAAGGTATTGGTTGTTGGTTGTAAGATTTTGGTTGGTGTATTATAAAGGAAGGGTGTTGGGAATATATTGTTTTTGTTGGTACGAGAAGGATACGGAAGACGTAGCACCCACGGATTACGTAGGTCCTGTATGTCTAATTGTATTCTGTCTAAAGAGCTAGCTACATATTGAAAGTAGTAAGTCTTATATAGACTTACTAAAAGAGCTAGTCTCTTTCGCGTTCGCTTAGTTCTTTATTACAGTAGTAATTGAATTGAAGTCATTCACTTCGTTCACACAGTTTTAATGCTAGTTCTTTAAGGATTATATTTTGTTTTATGGGTTTACCTGGGATAGATATTAGTCGAGTTATACATTGACTTGCACAGAGGGATAAGTGAACCCAGGGGGGAATATGTATCCGGTTATGGGTGCATTCAGCAAAGACAATGATAATCCTTGGAAAATTGTAATAAGAGATGAGAGTTTGTATCTTCGAAGTTACAAGTTATTACTGGTGTTTATTATCTATTTCCTATGAGTACCTAATCTTAATAATGCAACATTGCTCCTACTCGCAAAAATCATCATGAGTAGTATGAAAGTTTCGAGGTCAAGTCCACCAGTCCCAGTGAGACAAGAAAAGAAAATCGTATATCACATATAGGATTTCCATCTAAATAGTAGGCATTTAAACAAGACCAAAAGCCCCTCTCTAGTGAATTTTGCAAGTTAGCTAGACAGATTTCTTGGATCTGTCGATATTAGTTTCACTACTATTGTATTGGTATATAGTTAGTTACTAAAGGAAATGACTCTTCACAAGAATGACGGGAAGCATAACGCTAGAATGTGAATTCATTCAGACTATATTCAAATAACTAAAGAGGAAAGGATGTGCAGAATAATTAGAGAGCTCTGATATATCTGAGCTCTACTAGTCATTTTACTTGTTAGACCTAACTCCCTCTACGCTGTCGTTCATTGGGAACCATCTACTTTAAAGGTAGTTTTATCTTACACTTCGGTCATTCTAGTGTATCGCCTTGTAAGTTAGCTTCTGGAACCACTCTATTCTATTTTCTAGTCGATAATTAATCAGCTCATGGGGTATGAAGAAGGACTTGTATAGTATGGATGCTAAGTGATTTGGTCTTCCAATCTTCACTCAAGAATGGTTTTGTTGCATATCTGGGATTTCTATCTCAAGGGTGTATCCTGAGGAGTGGCTTATCAGTAGGTATCTGTAGCTCATATATTGGTGCAGATCTTCTTTTTGATATTATAGTACTAACACTTTACGATTTAGTCTTCTAATGGTCGCTCGAGTATGATTTTGTTGCATATCTGACATTCTATTTGCAGAGCGCATCCTGACAAGTGGTTTATTAGTATCTATAGCTCACATATTAGTACCGACACTTTATGATTTAGTCTTCCAATCGTTATTCAAGAATGGACTTATTGCATATCTGAGGTTGCTATTTACAGAGCGCATCCTGGTAAGCGTTTCCTTTTCGATGTTATACTATTATGTTTACCCCATGCAGAGTGAGTTTAATAAGTCTCAGAATTCACTTTGTAACCTCGCCGGTATTTTCGGAATTTTGCTTTCGATTGGCTGTACTAGATGGGTGGTAGCTTAGCCTTTGGTCGGGAGCTCTTTCCTTTTGGTGGGGAACAATGTCGCTTTCAATATCTAGTTCATTATATTTCTATTCTCATATCTTTCTACCCAAAATGCAAGTGGTTCGGTAGATTGGCAGAATGTACTGTGCTAGTAGATTCTGAAAGGAAAGTTTCCCTAGATCTCTTACAACTTTGTTCCTGGGGTCTAGAATGTGGGCGGGACAGTGTTTGGAAAGCTGGGAATCAAGTGTTGGATGTGGTTTAGTTAAGTGTTTAGTTTAGTGTGATGTTAGTGCGAAAATCTTAGCTTGCTTAGTAAATGTCCAATAATTGAAGGTTCTCTATGGAATTTGAGGAATAATAATACGATTTTACTCAATTGTGGCATCAGTTAGAGACAATCCATTATATATGATGAGATTCTGCTTTCCTGCTATATGTTATTCATGATGACGAGAAGAGGTGAATATGTATTGAAGTAGTGGATAACCTTAAGCGAGCATGTGTTACATAACCATCTCATCCTCTTTTATTAATTGGGATTGAGGATTAATGGGGTAGGCACGATTACATGGTGTTGAGGGTCATTAATGTACATAAATAAAAATAATCACAGTATCAGCAGCTCCTTCCGTTCATGTCAATCGCGGATTTCAATTTTTACATACTTCCGTTTTAGATCAGAAGTGCTCACTTCTGAACTATGCTCGCTAGCTTCACATAGAATCGCTGTCTCTTCCTTGTAATCAAATCATTTACCGGGCTCGTGGTCAATGTTGGCCCGCAAATGTTGCACAATTTTAAAGATAGAATAGATACTCAAGGTATTCGGGTTTAGTATCATACGCACCATTGTTAAACTGTGTTGATGAGTGCGTGTGAAGCACTACTGTGTGAACGAAGTGAATGACTTCAATTCAATTACTACTGTAATAAAGAACTAAGCGAACGCGAAAGAGACTAGCTCTTTTAGTAAGTCTATATAAGACTTACTACTTTCAATATGTAGCTAGCTCTTTAGACAGAATACAATTAGACATACAGGACCTACGTAATCCGTGGGTGCTACGTCTTCTGTATCCTTCTCGTACCAACAACTACCTTCTCCAATCCTGATCTATTGGATACCCTGTTTCGCATTCAATAATTTCTCTCTCTAATGGCGTATGCTTGTGATTGGTGATTTAAATGTATGCAGAATACGGAGTAGTTTACATAGTTGCTTTCAGTTAGTTAACTAACCAACGGAAACAGCTGAAGCATACTTCCTTCCCTTGTAGCCATTTCCGTGACAGCTTCATATTAGCCTCTTTAGGATCAGACTAGAAATTAATTACACTTTCCATAACCTATGTAGTCGCACAAACTTGGAGTTTTCGAAAGGCAAGAACCGAGTGGCTCGTCGCCATTGAGCAGGAAAAAAAGAACTTGGCTAATGGTAATGATGCCTTCTAAATTAGATTTTTAGTGAGTTGATAAAATGAAAGATTTCAGAGATCGATTAGATTAGTGTTTGTATGAGGAATTGGCCAGAGCATTCGCTCGTCATTGCTGATTCTATGGCTTCACCACAGTATCATGACGGAAACATGCTTCGACGCCATGGAGAGACAACCCTCACCCAAGACGTAACCAATTGACCACGAAAAACTTGAGTATCCTAGAGGGGGGCTAATATAGTTAAAAGTTTCTCCAACGATACTATCAAGAGCCGGATGCTTCCGAAGCTTGCCAGGAGCTTAAGTTCAAGCAGCGCTGTCGGCGGCGTTGGTATGAAGTTTACAAATTGTATGAGCAACGTGTGATTTATCTGCTTGAAGTATTAGTACATGATACCTTTAAGCTCACCGGCCGATGACTCCATGGCTTTCTATCCCAAGGATTGGGAGGAAAAATCTGAAGTATTGAGACTTCCTTGATGGTTTGTTAAGTTATAAGCTCTTGAGGTTACGAATTGCATATGCTAGTATCTATATAGGCTTTTTGCCATCATGTTAATCATAAATTGCACAAGTCATACATGGTCAGAGGGGGATATTGAGATACTTTAGGTAGCATCATTTTTCATAGGGATTATCATAATGATGATTTGCATCGACGCGGTTGGACTCGTTACATAATTTATTGCCTCCATGTACAGCGAGTGAGTAAGCTCTCATCTAAGGTATATAGATATAGAGTGACGATCTAATAAAATATATTGATATAAATTCACCAAACACCTCGAACAATATCAGCTGATGTATTTATTCCAATATCAAAATAAAATTCACCAACCCCCCTTTCCCCAACCTTATCCGACCCCAGTTCCCACGCATAAATTAATTTCCACACATCCAAGCAATACCAAAACCACCACACAATCCGATTTGCATCTCCTTTTCCATCATACTATTTTGGTCGTCGGCACAAACATCTTTGAGAGTAAACAGGCCACATTACGAATAAATCACGCCACTTTGACATATTTGTCGATCGATATTATCTTGGACTCTTCCGGCTCATTTCCACATTTAATAAGTAGTTTGAAATTGGGATAGAAAAGAATCGTTGTTCCCACATTCAAGTATAATGATTTTTTGAATTTTGCTGGTAAGACTCACTTTGTCTTGATAGCTTGGACGACGACTCGAATCGCGAAATCTGAGCATTCTTACATACCCTGTAATTATCACCAACTTGCCATCTTTTCCATATGGCAAGTTTCTGTTCGATTCATAGCTAATAGGAGCATCAGACAGAGTTTGTTCCTCGATCTCTAACTCTCATACTCCCTTCCTAGGCCCCGCAAATCTCATCATGCCTAATCGGTAAATCATCCTTCCTCGTCTTCGTCTCCATCAATACAAAACCAATCTTGAATTTCCAATTAACATACTTATAAGCACAAACGATTTAACCAAACCCACCACAAAAAAGATCCCCTCAAAAGTCTGTTCATCGAAATCACGAGGTCGAGTCGTCACATCTCCGGGGACTTCAGACGACGAGGTGAGCCATGTCAGCAGCGAGGGAAGGTCATCTGATTTAGAAAGTTCAAAAGGATCTACTTGTTCGGGGGATTGTGGAAAGGTTAGAGGATGTGGAAGGAAAGAGAAGAGTGTTAGTTTGGAGTTTTAATTTTTGAATGATGGGTAAGGAGGGAAAGAGGGAGGGAGCAAGTTTGGAATGGAAATTACGGTAGGAAGGAGATGAAATACATGGCAGAGGAACACGATACAGGTTTGTGATCGTCTTATACATTTTAGGATTTTGGAGTTCTGGATTTAGGAGGAAGGTGAGCGGGGCGTTTTGAGATTTTGGGTCTTTGAGTTTGTTGGAAAATTACATGGAATTGGAAGGAAGAATGGTGGATATGATTCAATCATCAGAATTTGATGGAGCTGATAATCTTTTCAGTGTCCCGATAGTCGTTTGGCAATTGCTAGGGGAAATACATAAGAACGGCGGATATAATAGACAGTGTATCCTTTCATCTCAATCTCACCACTTGAATCATTTTTCTACTGTACTAGGCCAAGCGATGGGCATTATTATATTATTCCAATAACTAAGAATAGAATTAAAGATTGATGGGAAAGAAGTAAAGTCCTAGTAATAAAATCCTCTATCATCTCAAAGTGAGTGCATTATCGTCTATAATTCCAGCTGAGACACAAGCATTTTTTCCAATCAGTTAACTGTTTATCGATGAAGACGTTGCTTCATCCATATTTCCATGCTGTATTGATTTCATACGAACTAGTAGAAGTCAAGCATGAAAGTGTGATCTCAGCTAAGGCCCATATCATCAGATCATGATTCGAAACATCATCTTTTCGAATTCATCGAAGACACCCGGGAGTTCTATCGCTATGCATACAGGCTTATGTAGGGATATCAAAATGATGGCTGTAGTGATACAAAAGGGTTGGAGATGAGTTTTACGTCCAAACAGGGCACTTGATGTTGATTCCTAGGCGTGACTGTCCTTTCTGGAAGTTCCTTAAAAGGCCTTGAGCCTCTCCCTGAATTTTGCGCTTTTGTCTCTTTTTTAGTCATAGTTTAGAATAATAATAAAAATAGTAGCACATAAAAACAAGATCGCTGAAGAAAATATAAGCCAATATTTTTAAGTGTTGAAGTGACACAAAAACCACTACTTTGACTGTTTATATGATTTGACTCGACAGAATTATAAATTCCGGGAGAATGGTATTGTATCTAGTTTATGATATGCCCCTCAGAAATATGAAAGTTGTGAGCTTCCATGGATAAAGAATGAATAACTATGGCACGGTAGATTCTTGGAAGAGAACTAAGAGCAGCTTAAGTTTCACTAATCCATACCAGTATCACCTTCTGAGCTACAAATAGCCTTAGTGAGGTCATGAACTTAGTACATGATGAATATAATATCTATCTCCGGTTTTCGAGATCAAAACAATTCAAAGCTTACCTTGGAAAAACTGATCGAGTAGTGGATGGATGCTTAGTTCCTAATGATCAGCGACCAATGGTGAGTTCGCGGATGGGGCTCCAAGATAAGGCTACAAGTTGTGACAGATCTTCTACTTTGAATAAATGATAATCATCGTTTAAACTAGCTGCAACGAGTACTTTAGATACTCATTAAGACACGGATAGTTGTCATGTTAAACTTAAATCAAAATTAGCGTTTGCTCTGGGGAAATTTAGCAGGGCTCGCTTAAGCTTACTTCATACTAGTGACGTGTTTGTATTCTCACAATTAGTTTCATGAGAGTACATACACTTTCGTAACAGAGCGAATGACAAGCTTGAGTACCAATAAAGCGTTAAAATATTGCAGTTCATTCGATGTCGAGTCACAACCAAGTGAGTTTGTGGTATGGAAGTTCATCTCGCTCACGTGAATCGACTAGCAAAGCCACCGGACACCGGACTGTGAAACTCAAGCATCTTTATTTGATCTTATGGGGGCCGAATTAGCTAAAATGTCTTGAATTTTGATGCTAAGTAGGGGGCGGATTATGACCTTTCAACTCTAGACCGTTTAAATTCAGCCACTGAGGTCGTAACCTTTAGTCTCATAGAGAATGATATCTAGCTTTTCCATAATATGATGGTTCTAGGTCATCTCCACATTAGTAATCAAACACAGCAAAGGTATTTGAGTGGCCTTGGAGGTAGTAGAATATATTTTTGCGTACCTAAGAACGTTTTTCGGCAGTTTCTTGATGCTTCAGTCATACAGAGCATTTCATGGGCCGTACAGCGAATTATACGGCTGTCTGGAAATATACCTCCCGTATCTCGTGGATGTAGTGATTATTAGTAATTATTTGAGGTCCATGATCAAGCTTTCTTAACTCCTACGAGGGAAAATAAATACGGAAGAGTCATAATTTCGCCTTGGCTCTGCTTTTCCGAAACTAATGCGGTGCCGCAGATCATGGTATGTAGTCGTGTATTAGCGTGAAAAAACGGAACGGTCTTTGAACCGGCGCTTTTATAGCTCGATTTTCATATGGACTGGAACTTCACATACATATGTAATGTGAATCTCTTCCTCTCTCTTAATTTCTCTCCATATTCTCCATCTAAAACCTCAATCTACGACCATATTTCTCAGATCAGCGAAATTTCAACCGTGAAAACCATTTCAAGCATCATACAAAACATGTCACCGTGAGTCAAATTTTATGCCAGTATCATATACTGGAATTCCTCTTACAAAATTACATACTGACACAACAAGCACGGATGAAAATGCAGCTATGGTAAAGAGGAAGCCAAATGAGCAAAATTATACGGCCAATCCCAAAATATCGAGATCAGTTAAAGCAAGACCTAAGTATTTCGACGTTCAAGTTGAAGAAGATGGATGGGTTGGAATCCGCTTGCACGAAAAATTGGTAGCAAATTGTCAAATATTTAAGTATGTCTTGGGAGTAAGTTCTATCTGATCGGCATTTGAATCAATTCATGTAGCGGGCAAATACTGATAACTGACAGTTGGGAGGAGCCGCGCAGTGCTCCTGTGACGGTTGTCTAATGGGGAACCCTGAAACTCGGATAACAGTGAGTCCATCAATTCAAATGAAAACATTGTACAAAATAGATATTAATCAATCAAAGTGGATTCAAGCTTGGGCGAGTAAATTGCAAGTAAGTTCACTATTCCAGTAAAAGACTACCCACACAGAAAGATGCTAATCAGTAACAGAGAGAAACCCGAAGGGCAAATCTTGTGCACTACGCAACAGACCGCCTCGAGGATCTAATTTCTCAAGAAAATCACACCCAAAGAGTAAAGTGTAGATTTTGCGAGGGTTTGTCGACTGTAAGTTCATTATGTTGCACGCTTGAATGACAAATATGAGCAAGACAAGATACTAATACTTGATAGTGCCCTCTTCAATCTCACAACGTAACATCAGAACAAGCCACTCCTGAAATGAAAAGTACAGAGAACAGCAACGAGAAAAGATTTGAGGATGTCAGCCGCGATCAGTTCAACGCCAACAAGTTGTTCGAAGTCGATTGGCGCGGTGCAGAAACTCCAATCTAATCTAAGCTTTTCATCTCAATTTTCGATTCAGCCAAGTTGGATAAGACCCTTCTTCAGGAGATTTTTTTGAGGACGGTGGTACAGAAGCTGGATTCCAAAAATATTCAGTCAGCGTCTTGGATGTTAAGGTTAAGTCTTACACACATCGATCAGCGTTATTTTGTATGAATGGTGAAGCGAAGAGTTGGAATTCTAGTTTAGAATACACTATTAAATTCATTCTATCAAACAAAATGATGCTATTCAGATATGTATGTCACCTGTGAGGTCGTTATATGACAAGCTTAGTAATACACTAGGAATCGAAACTCCAAGGTCCGTGCACATATACATATTTCCCCAGACTTCACAATTTTACCCCTCCAACCCCTCCATTTGTTATTCTCATCCTCAATTCCTCCTATTCAATATGTCAACCAATTCCACCACATCCAATATGGCACCAATCAAAGAATTTACCCTCATTGTTGCTGCGACTAATAAGATGGGAGTTGGGAAAGGAGGTGGTCTTCCATGGACGGGATTGAGAAAGGAAATGGCCTATTTTGCGAGGGTTACTAAGAGGGCTGGTCCTGGGGTATGTATTCTATGTGTTCCTCGGTAATATGGTTCGTCCTTCTGTTTTCAACTTCTACCTCCCAATGCGAATGGTTCAAGATAATTTTGTATTGAACGCAGGGCGGGAGGTAGAGCTGGTTCGGATAATACTTCAACTCAAGGTCTCCATTGAGATTCTCTAATGATGGCCCGAGTGCAAGGCATCAAGATGTTCTCCTACATGTCTTTTCCCAAGAGGATTGTGTAGGCAGGATAATTTGGTAGGAGGAAAAAGGACATCAACTAACCAAAAGTAATTTTTTAACAGAAAACAAACGCAGTAGTAATGGGACGCAAAACCTGGGAATCAATACCTCCTAAATTCCGTCCTCTCGCGAATAGAGCAAATTACATGATTAGTCGGACACAAACTTCCAATTCTCCGGAAGTTGATCTCGGTCCCGATGCACATTCAGCAACAAGTTTGACGGATGCACTCGAGAAATTAGGATCAAGGGCACAATCAAATACGAATCATGAGGATGAAAAAGAAATTGATAGAGTTTTCATAATTGGTGGAGGACAAATATATAAAGCATCATTGGAGTTAAAGGAGGCAAAGAGAATATTATTAACAAGGATTTTGGAGGATTTTGAATGTGATACGTATTTTCCTGTTGAGTTGAAGGAGGATGGAACAGGGAAGGGGTGGAGAAGGACGGATACACAAGCACTTCGAGAATGGACTGGGGAGGGAGAGGAAGTTGAGAATATCAAGGAGGAGGCTGGTGTGAAATACATATTCGAGATGTGGGAAAAGGTTGAGGAATCATAAAGAGGGGCAGTATAGCAGGGATAAGCCATACATTCAAGATGTGCGAGAGAGAGCAGACACTGAAAGCATAGCGCGCTCCCACGATGAGGATATTTTACATCCGATTGGCTACACGCAGGCCATCAAAATTCCACCCCCAACTCCTCTCAACCCTTTTCTGGTAATATTATCACCCAAATACTCTACTCTACTCGAGTTTCTACTAAATCTTTCACGTTTCTCGGCTTCTCTCTCGCGCTCGAAATCTTCGAGTATATCCCGTACGGATAAATGAAAGTCTTCTCTAACCATGCTCCCCTCCCTCCTCTTTGCTACACATAATGCAGGATAAGCCTAGGTCAACCTTGTTGTTGCGCCAAGCTAGACGGATCAAGAGAAATTCATTTTATATCGTGAGCAATATGGTAGATGTCACTTGTGAGGGCGAGAGGCAAGATTTTGGCTGACGGCATCAGGTAAATTACTACATTAGATTCTCAACTAAACATGGGACTGTAGAAAATCAATAGCATGAGATGAATGTGAAAATTGCTTAGCCAAAGTATTCGCAGACAATTCACCATACTGCAGTAAGTTGGCCAGTCGGTCTATGGAAGGCGAACTTGAATCCACCGCTTGGCTGATGGCATCGAAGACTTCACCAAAGATTAGGTAGAAGAAAGTTTAGCAGAAATCAACTTTATGCTAGGTGCAACACAATATTCATTTCTCCTTATTTAAAAATATACCCTACGCGTGGAGTTCCATGATCAGTTTATTATATTCATAGTTTTAAAAGCGCAAGGGATTTAGACCTGTTGATTACTGAGTTTTTTAATGGCCAGTTCTTATACGTATACAGTCTGTCTATATTACACTATATAAACTTCTATATCTCCGGTTATCTTTTATTATATGTTTGGTTGATGAGTTGGGAAGTTGTAAGATCTTAGATAGATGGTTCAGAAGATTTATGCTTGGGAATGTGTTTCTCAGGTATTAAGTAGCTCTTCATTTCAGGAAATAATCAGAAGTAATGATAGTTTTGATTTGTTTCAGCTCTTCTTTTTCCTTTCTTTTTTTTATGGCCTAGTTAGATATTTAAGTAGGTGTCTAAGTAGGTACTGATTAATAGGAGTTCGAGATAGATAGAATGATTAGATAAATAGATAAATACTAAAGTTTGATGGATTGGGTGATAGTACTTAGTTTCTATATCATATCTTCCTGAGTCCTTGGATTTGTTAGTTTGAGATTATAGATAAAAAATTTATTTGATATCTATCTAACGACTTGTTTTATATTTGCCTCAAATTGTAAGCGTTGACCAATCACTATATTTCTCAATTTTTGTTTTACTACGATTTGATCATTTGATGTTTTTCCCAATGTTCAGATCATTCATCAATCATCCTTATCTCATACTTTCGTAAATCGTGCTATCGTACATCGTGCCAATGTACTCCATCATGTATCATACGTTATTCATTACATCCCTTCATATCATATCATCTCAAACACTCTACTCATAACCCATCTCCAAGACTCAACTCCTCACTCAAGAAAGGTGAAGTACCCTCTCAACCCCGCACCCCCTACACACACACTTAACCTCATACTCCTCCCCCTCCCCCCTCGGTCCACAATCCGCACATAAAACCCATTCATTCTTCCCCTCCTCCTCCCCCTCACCCTGCAGCACCCTCTCCACAACCCTCTCAACCACCCTCTCCACCTCAACCGGAACCCCAACTTCCCTAATCACCTCCCTAACCTCCACCCCCTTCCTATTCAAATTCCCCAACAACCTAAGCACACCCTCCCAAAACTCCCTATTCTCCCTCATAACACCCAAAAACCTATCTTTCAACCCCTCATCCCCCAAAAAACCCATCTAAATCCAACACCACCGCTTCCAGCAACGCATTTCTCAATCCTGGATTTTCATCCGTTGTTTTATTGAAGATGCGTTTTATAGATGAGAAATAGATATCTAGGTTTGAGATTTGCGTGTTGAGTGTATGGCGGAAGGAGGCTGCGGCTAGGGCTTCCAATGCGGGGATTTGGAGGTGTACGGCTAGGTGGAAGATTTGTTCGTGGCGGGGGAGGGAGTACGAGGGTTCGGTTAGGTAGGTGCAGGTTGTGGGGGAGATGTCGCCTGACGCGGTGGGGAGTGGGTAGGCGGATGCGTAGAGGTATTCTATTAGGGCGGTGATGGAGTCGAGGGGGAAGGAGGAGAGGTTGAGAATGCTGGATTTGGAGGGGTTGCCGAACTATGGGTTTGAGGGTTAGTGATGTGAAGTATGAGGAGGGGAGTCGGAAGTTGAGATGGAATAGAGAAGTGAAGGTGAAGAAGAGAGAGAACTAACTATATTTCCAACACCATTACTATCAATCATACTCTCTAAGACCTCTGATTGTGAACACACAACAGCTTTATGTGCATTCCATACACGTACGCCATGAAAGATGGTCAAGTCTGAAAATCGTCCTGTGAGGAGTGATCTATGAGATAATATTAGTTTGAGTTTAGGGACATCTGCTCTGCCTTGCATCCTCTCCTCTTCCATATCCATTTTTGCCTCAGATTCTGAAAGACAACAGAAGAAGGAATAAAACTCACGCTTTTAACGCGACAAGAGGCCCCTCCAAAACCACTTCATTAACCTCAAGTTCTTGTTCTCTTCCCCTATAGCCCATAGTATGGATTCCACTACCAGCACTAAAGCCAGCACCAAACCCATACCCCATCCCTCTATTCACATTCTCCGCATATCCCACAAATCAAGCACCATGGCCAGCACCAATATCACCCTGCAGACTCTGATTCTGACTCTGACTCTGGCTCTGACTCCACTCTCCTTGAATCCATACTTTCATTCACATTCACAGTCACACCCGCATTCAACCCCCAACTCCAGCCTCACCACCAGCCAAACACACCCCAGCACCTCTTAGCCCTCCAACCGCTTCTCCACCCACCACTCCAGCCCTCTCAAACGCCGACGACACACCCCTATCCATATTCCCATCCATCTCTCCACCCAAAAGCCTTCCCTCCCTAACAACAATAATCCTCAAAATCCACAAATCTCTTCCAAATCTCGTCCAAACCTCGTCCAAACCACACAAATAACACAGAAACTTCGAATTCGTCAAGAAGTAAATTATCTACTTCCTTATTCCTTATCTTTTTCTTGATTCTTCTTCTCCATTAATCTCGATATAAATCTTGATTCTGTTTTTTAGAAAAAGCACAAAAAAGAAGAGTAGTATTTCTAACATGGAAAAGTGAAGATGAGTTGGGTGTTGAGTTTGAGTGTTGAGATGGATGGATGGATGGATGGATGGATGGATAGATGGATGGATGGATGAATGAATGAATGTTTGTTCTGCAGCTGTGGGTTTTTTTGTAAAAGTAGGTGTAAGGAGATAGGTAGGTATTTGCTCTGTGTTTGTTTCGTTTTGTTTCGTGTCTGTTTTGTGATGCTGAGGCGGGGAGAAAGAAGAGAAGGGAGAAGTAGGAGAAATAAAAGATAAGATGTAGATATTAATATGTTTCTAATAACCTTCCCCTATCTCTATCTTTATCTTCTAATTAAATATCTCCTGAATCCGGATTTGAAGAATCTCAAGTGTTTATTTTTATCTTTATTTCAAATATAATTATAATTTGTTCCTAAAACTCTAGGGGGTGAAAAAGATACCCTTGTTTGTTTATTTGTCTGCTTCATTCGATTTCTTATTCTAATACTGACACTTGACTTTGAGTCTGATTCAAAAGAGATAAGCTTAAATATTTATACAAATATGCTTCATTTCCCAATTGCACCCTGAACGACTTAGATCGAATAACTAGGTCTTACTAGGTAGATAGAATAAATTCATTTCACGCGCTTTTTATATCCGCAGTAAGTGATACGGATGAATACATACATACATGTATATGGGAGAGCCAGGGGAAAGAATATCAAAGAGGTCACAAAAAGCTAGGCTATTAGCTTTATACTACTCTTTCCAACCAGGTAAAAAACCTATAACCTACTCCTTCTCCTTTCTCCTTCCTACAACCTCATTCGTTATAACCCTTCTTCAGCACCGCTTTTCTCCCGCCCTCGATCCCTTTTATACGAATTGGGTTCCCCTTTTGCTCCATCTTGCAGATAGAAGCATTGCAGTTATATAGATTACTCTTTAATATTTCAAAAAATATTGCAAGGAAGATGATTTTCTTTTAGCTTCTACAACTAGGGAAATTATAGCTATGATCTCATATGACATAATGCTAGCCCTGCAAGCCACTATTTCATATAGGTCTAGCTCTGTTGAGCTGTATCTTTCCAAATTTAGACTAGTTGGAAAATAAAAGATCTTGTTCCCTTGTGCTCTTGAAGTGATAAAGACTGAAACATATACATACATACCTACTCAGCAATATATACCAACATCAATCAAAATATCAAGAAACTCAAATTCAAACTCAAACTCACTTTACATTTTACCCATATAAGATTATAACTATAACAAACATTCTTCTCTTTTGAGAAGAGAGAAATATCAAAAAAAGTGTTTCACATTCATCTACTTAGCAACCTAGTATTTAAAACTACAACAAAGAATCAAACATCAAGTGAAGTATCAGAACCATCTTCCCAGAAACGAAATATGTACCTATGTAATGCATATTTAGGTACTTAGTATGTATACATGTGTATATACACATGCAATGGTGGCACATGCACATAACCGCAAATATAAGCACTAATACTAACTACCTAACCTAGGTATTCAGTACAAATAAAGATTTATAGAGAAGATTTTCATTTTTCTGATATCCGGTATCCATTAAACTTCATGTAGTTGTAAGATTACCTAGTCATGAGTGCTCCTACCCATTTTGATTCCGATATGGGAAGGAATGTTATATTATTAAACCAAGACCTATCCATCATATGCTATGATATGATACTAATAAACAAACCAACCGACCAAGTGAACCCAAAAAAAGGATAAGGATGTACTCCTAAATCCTATTAACAATTTAAATAATAACCAAACCACACAGCCTCCATCCTATCCACCAAATCCCCTCCCTACCCTCCTCCTCCCCCCCATCTCCTCACACATCCCCCCTAAAAAAACTTCCTAACCCCCCACTCCCCTAACACACCCACCACGCCCACCCCCAAGACCCCCCACAACCAACCATTATCCCACTCCTGCACGCCGGGCCAAAAACTATTCTTCTCCCCTTTCAACCCCCTAAAATCCCCCAACTTCTCCTCCTCCCCCATTTTCTCATATCTCTCCTCCTGATATTTCTCCGTCTGTGCGTCTCCACCTACATATCTTAAAAATGTATAATTGGCTACTGGAGCAAGAAGCATCAGGGGATGAAAGAGTCCTGCTCCGTAGAGAATGAGGGGGAAGGAGGTGTGGATTAGTGTGTCGCCTAGGTAGCTGCTTGTGGGGAGGGGGTTTAGGTTAGTATTATTTTTTGTGTTTTTGGTTTGTGAGGTTTGATGGGATTTGATGAGGGAAAAAGAGAAGATTACTAACTTAGGATGTCTCACGAATACTCCAAATACCCTCCTTCAACAACCCCTCATTCCCACTCTTCTTAAAACGTTCCAACTGTGAATCCACACCAACTTCCAACGCACACCCCCGCGGAAAAA